TGTTTCCCTTTTTTGGAATTAAACTAAATTAACTTTTAATTGTGACTTAATAAATTATGTATCTACTTCATTAAATTACACACTTGTAATATGTAAACCCTTTGGTCCAGAAATATCACTTAGGATTACCTGATAAAACTATATACCCACACAAAAATGTATGTAAAGATTTTCAGCCCTGGCTGGTGTGGCTCAGTGGATTGAGCACTGGGCTGTGAACCAAAGGGTCACCAGTTTGATTCCCAGTCAGGGCACATGTCCAGGTTGCAGGCCAGGTCCTCAGTAGGGGCCACATGAAAGGTGACCACACATTGATGTTTCTCTCCCTCTCTTTCTCCCTCCCTTCCCCTCTGTCAAAATAAATAAATAAAATCTTTAAAAAATAAGATTTTCATTAACATAGTTTGTAATCATGAAACATTAAAAACAATTTAAAAGTTCAAAAATTGTAGAATGGTTAAATAAATTATTGTACATACATACAGGACAATACTACAGTCTTTTTTATAAAAAAATGCAGCTCAATATCCTCTGTCATGAAAAGATGCTCATATTTTTAAGTGAAAAAGCAAGCCACTGAAATACAGGGGTGGGCGAGAGGAGGTTTACAGTTGTCATACAAATAAATAATACAATAATTAATAAATAATACAAGAATAAACTCTGCTTCGCATACTCACAATTGTGAACTTACTTTTGCCCCACCCTTTAGTACCACCATAGCCTAATTACCTATGGACTATATCTCAATAATGGTAATTTTTTCTTAAAGTTTAAAATATAAATGTTTCCTGTTGGGCACAAGCACAGAACATGAGCCTCCTGTTCATTACCTGCTCATCCAGTTGCCTTTAATGGAGATAAAATAAGGAGCTTTTCCAAGTCCTGGGGTATGAAATGAATTTTTTCCCGCAATTAGTGCAGCAGTAGCTTTTGGTTTTGAAGTCCCTGCAGCTATAAATTTGACTGTAAGCAGCCGATTACTTTCTGCAGTAGCAGATACGTATTTCTTATGACATGAAATTTTTGTCCAGTATGCATATGTGTGTGTATGTGTATGTATTTATTAGATTCTCGTCTATTCAAGGTCGTTTGGATGACCTGCCTCAGCCAGAATTGGCTAGTGGGTTTTGCCTTGTGTGACTGTTACCTGAGAGGGACCAGGCCCGGAGCAGATCAGTAGTGTGTGGAGTCCTGACTTTGTGCAGGAAAGATTTCACAGCATGAGTCCAGTTGATTTTGAGAGGATGTTTATTAAAGCTGGGGACAGTGAAACAAGGAAAGTCTTAGGATAGAAGAAACAACAGGACAGAGGCTAGGCAGGGCTGCTTTTGTTCTCTAGAAACCTATGGGACAGAAGTGAGCCCAGGTGGGTCTGCTGTTGGCTCACTGAAAAGTCACAGGGGACGGGGCCTTGGAGACAGGTTCAGGGGTTAGCCTGGCAAGAGCTGCTGCCGCCCATTGCTCCCCTGGTTGCAAATCTCAGGGGGCTCGTCAGAGTTTAGGAGGCACGTGTTTGTGGGGGGAGAAGAGGGGAAGGGAAGGGCACGGGCATGCTCCAAGGGGGGAGAGCACACTGCTGGGACTTTTGGTTTGAGGGTTTTAAAAGGCTGAGAGTCTTAAGGGAGATTTCAATAAAATATCAGCTTATCCAGGCATACCCTTTTTTTAAAAAAAGATTTTATTTATTTATTTTTAGAGAGAGGGGAAGGGAAAGAAAGGGTTAGGGAGAGAAAAATCAATTGTACACCATCCTCCTCTACATACACCATCTCCCTCCCCCAAACAGGGACCAAACCCTCGCAACCCAGGCATGTGCCCTGACCAGGAATTGAACCAGTGACCTTTCACTTTGCGGTGCCACTCTGCTACCTGAGCCCCACCAGTCAGGGCTCTAGGTGCGCCCTTTCAGGGTCACAGTCTCCACTGATTGGTCAGCACCAGGGCAGGGGCCATTCCAGCTGGTTCTGGTGCAGCCCATGTGGTTTTGCTGCTTTTGGGGGCCTGGAGCTGAAATACGACTCAGGCCTGGATGTTATCTCTAGGAAGGAAGGATCAGGGTGGTGAGAGGCCAGGGAGAAAAGGCCTCCCCGAGGATAAGGCCTGGCACCCATCGCTAGGCACCTGCGCCTTTCCACTCAGGTGACCTTCTGTATCTGGCTGTAAATTGTTTGGCCGATTTGTTCAGCCATTTGCCTTAGTTTCCCCATTCTACTTGCCAACGAATTTTCCTAGCTTCTGACTATCCTGCCTCAAAAAGACAATAACATGTGGAGAAATTACTAGGAAATTCATGGGAGAACTAATGAAGGATCATGGTTATTTTAGTAAAGTCTGTTTAAGGCCTCTCAGTGTTTTCCTCCTTCTGAAATAGTACAGGCCACCCCCACCAAGGGAAAGGTGTGCCCTGCCTTCAGGCAGGTTTGGGGTGGCACTTTCTGATGCCCTTCAAATGCTAACCTTTTTCTCAGATTAGAGGATTGTAGGTAATCATTTCCCCAGGTCCTCAACTTTGATTTTGAAAATCTTTTCTCCTCTCAAATCGCCCTTGAAAATCAGCAAATCTATAAAGCAAGTAAGTTCATTTGCATTTCTAAGTTTCCTTTCCTGCTGTCTTTCCTCCCCTTTCTCTAAAAATAAAAATAAAAAGAGCTCTGAAGGACAGCCCTGGCTGGGTGGCTCAGCTGGTTGGAATGTCATCCCATACACCAAAAGGTTGCTGGCTTGACCTTTGGTCAGGGCACATACCCAGGTTGGGGGTTCAATTCCCAGTGGTGGTGTGTACAGGAAACAACTGATCAATGTTTCTCTCTCTCTCTCTCTCCCCCTACCCCTCTTCTCTTTAAAACAAAAAAAAATTTTTTTCTTAGAGAGGGAAGGAGAAACACATCGATTGGTTGTCTGTCGCAGGCCCCCAACTGGTATGTGCCCTGACTTGGAATCCAACTGGCAACCCCTTGGTCTGCAGGTAGGCTCAATCCACTGAGCCACACCAGCTAGGGTTCTAAAAATCACCTCGAGTTGAGGATTTAGAAAAAAAAAAATGTTTCAGCCAATGCAGGGGGAGGGGCTCTTTATGAGTGTGAATCATAATTCTGCCCTCATATAATATAAACTAAGGCTTCAATTTATATTACTTGACTATTCTAAGAAATCATAAGCTCAGAAATTAATAAACACACATCATCTCTGGGCGGTGCCCCGCCAACCGAGGCCTTCAAGATTTCCAGAGAACCAAAAATTCATAATCCAAAATAACAAAATACTATGGAAGCCTCAATAAGTGAAAGTCAGCAAAAACAAACAGCAAAATCAGATACCTGAGCACTTGATGGAATTTAGAAGCCATATATAAAATAAGTATGGGAGTAAGAAGCTTAACAAAAGATACCAAAGCAAAAAACAAGATGCTATCAAAAAAAAAAGTCCTGGCAGTTTTCAAAAAGTACCAAATAATCCATCTAATATAAAAATATTATCCTTGGTATTAAAAAAGATCAATAAATCCACTGAAGATTTCTAATTTATTGGGGGGGATCTTTAAATAAACACCCAGAATACATCGTTGAGAGAGAAATCCACTCCTCTCATTCCCCTGCCCCCCAAAATTCCAGAGGGGTTAAGAGGCATAGAGGATAGAAAAGGTGTCACATACATACTCGGTTCAGGAGAAGATACAGGAGAAAGTAGGAGAGTGATCCTTAGATGAGAATCGAGGACTTTCCAAAATTAAATAAAAGAAATATATTTGAAATTTGGAGAGAGTGAAAAACCCCAGAAATCTACATCTAGGCTCATTGTAGTGAAACCACATGGCACAAAGGACCTCAGAAGCAACCAGAGGTTTAGATTACTTCAGTGACTGTCCTGCTTCAGAGCTCTCAAGGGCTTCACTTCACCTGGTTAAATTTAGGGTATTCCCCAAATTTCCATCCAAAACGCAGTATATTTTCAAGAAAACAAGAATGAAATGTGACTAATGAGTAGAAATTTCTGGTCAATGGCAGTGTGATGTGTCCGGCAAGAGTAAACTCCTCTTGATATTTGATTTTAAAAAGGGCATTGGACGATGGAAATTTAAATGTTAATCCAACACTGTCCAAGAAGAAACATGAATGTTCTGGGCGAACAGAGGGGTGCGCGGCACGACAAAGCAGGGGCGATCTGTGCCTGGCCGACGCTTCCCTCCCGAAGCGCCATTTCCTCTCCTCTGCTGGTGCACTAAACAAGAAGGTCCTATCAGCTCCTCTGCTCAGACTTTTGGGCTTTTCTGACTTCATCCCCAAAGAAGTTTCTTTCATATACATGTGAAAAAAAAAATCAAATTCTACAAAGCAGCTGTGTGCACCTTTGAATCCTGACACTTAACATCTACAAGACCTGCTTCCTCAGGACGGCTGTTCAGAATATAGGGAGGACACAGCACTAAATATATTTGGAAATTTTTATTTTCCTCACCAACATCTTTTTCAGCATTTTATTAACTCGTGATAAGTGACCATCAGAAATTATCTGTCTGCATATTGCTTTCAAAAAGCAGTAAGAAAGTAGCTATTTAGAAAAAGGAGGTACATATGTTAGAAACATTATAAAAAATGAAAATCCCATCACATGGAAATATATGATCAAAGGTTAATAAATATTCGAACAGGCTCTTTTCAGATGAGAGCTCTCCATTTCTCTGAGTAGAATCTTTTTTTTCTCAGATTCTTCCAGAAACACTTCATAATGAACGAGGAGATCATTTCTTTATAAGCTTAGGTATGACAACATTGCTATGTTATGGTGAGAAGCTTGGAGATGGTTTGATTTCTGAGACCAATTATCTTTGATTTAGTTGTTCAAGCCAGGATGGATGAAGCTTGGGGAGGAGCAAGGTGAGCAGTAAAGGGAAGCGAATGCAAGACACCAGTTACCTATTTTACCAAAACAAGCTCCAAAGTGATCATCATGCTCCTCAGTTCACAAGGTTGAAAAGTTTAATGAGGAAGGAGCCTATATTGTTCATAAAATAAAACAGATCTTTTACTTTGTTTTATTTTTTAAAGTGCAGGTCTTCAAGAACTCCATTTTTTAAAAATCACCTGTGAGGAAAGAAAAGAATAAATGCACTTACTTTTTTTAATATTCCCATAATATGTGAATGGTCGTGTTTATCAGGCCAGGTTTACAAACTCCAGAAGATCTTTGCAATAGGGAAACGTGTCCTATCACTAAGTGGCCGCCCAGAAGTTTCCAGGGACAGCAAAAAGGATCCTGGCTTTTCTCTCAGGTCCTTCCTATCATCGATAAGCTCACTGATGCCTAAAATAAATTCTGTTGGTGTCCTCTGCCCTCAGTATCTGTCTTTTGCTGCAAAGGTGATGGGCCTACCTCACTGTTACTCTGGGGACACGTAAGTCTTACTAAGTATTTTCCTCTCTGTGTAGGTGAAACGATAACACTTTGCCCTAAAAATAGGTTTTGATAAGGTGGCAAAGGGCACTGAGCACCATACAAACAATTCAAAATAAATACTTAATGCTGACACTCATGACACAAATGACAATAATATGCCAGACGCCTGTCCAAAAATATTGTGTATATATGTTATGTTACCATCTTTTGTGAGAAACACCAGCACACACACACCCCCTTCCCCTCAAATATACTTTAGTGAACCTTTTATAGCAGGTGAATTCACTCTCCTGCTTACTTCCTTTTAACCCAGGTTTCTGATCTTCGTCATGTACTTTTCTGGGTTGGCAGCGCTCATTACTGTAGTATAAACCGTGTCACTGAAAATAATGAGAGAAATTTTTACATACACATCCGAAGAAGAAGAAGAAACCCAAGCCCTTCCCTAACACTTGGGACCTAGGACAAGAATACAAATAGAGGCCCACATGTATTAGAATATTTAAAAGTTGTAATTCAAGCAACCACACATTCAAGGTGTTCTTTCCTCCTATTTTGACAAGACTGTGAAAGGCCAAGGTGAAATTTAAAACCCTCACACTCCAGAGTTCCGTGCTGAGGCAGTGGGGAAGAGCAGGCCTCGGCCCTTGCCCCTCGCTCTGCCCTACCCCACAGCTGGCCCGTCCATGGACACCTCCGCCTGTGCATTCAGGCTTCACGCATGACCCCCAGCAAACACCCCTTGGCCACCCACCAGGCACAGGCTGTCCACAATGGCTGCACAGCAGCCACAGAGAGGGACTGCAAAGGCCCTGGAAATGGGCTTAGCGCTGTTTAGGCAAAGAATTCCAGGGTCCCGGGTACTTGAGCCAGACTGGGTGGGCAAATGCCCCTGACCCAGAGGAATCCTCACATCAAGGGAGGGTCAAAGGAAGACCAGAGCAGAGTTTCTAAAGCTCAGGGATCAAGATAAGGGATGAAAAGTACCTTGTCCTTTACTCAGCATTCTGTATAACAGAAGACCTGAACAACATGAACTCGCACACACACAAGGGCTCCTTCCCTTCACTCCCTTCACCTACGGCTTGTGCTGGGCACCAAGCCTTAGGTTTTTATTTATGCCTTAGTCATAATTCTATCTTCCATCACAGTTTGAAATTTTTCTCTTTGAGTCACAACAGAAGATGGAATTCTATTGCATGCGAGCGTAACTGTAGCGCAGCACAAGGGGGCAGTAGAGAGAGAACTTCTGTTCAAACATTTCTATTAACCTCACTCATAAAGGGCCTTAGAGTCCGGGGCCTGTGTTAATTCAGGCTCAGTGGTGATTATCCTTTAAATGCAATTTCTCTTGGGCTCTCAATTATATAATAGAGAAGAATGCTAGTCTGTAAGCTGTTTATAATTTCTAATAATTCCATTTCATTAAAACATTTCAGATGTCATTTAAACATTCACAGCCTTTAACTCAGTAACCCCACTTCTGGAAATTCAGGCAAGGGAAATATTCAAAAGCAGGGGGGAAATGCACAAATATGTTTATTTCAGAGCTTTAACAGAAAAAAACTAAATATTGGAGAACACTTCCCTCAATTATACGACATTCAATTGGCTATGCAGCTATTTAATATTATAGGGGCTATTACTCTGGCTGGTTTGGTTTATTTGGTTGGCACATCATCCTGTAAATGGAAAGCTCAAGGGCTTGATCCCCAGTCGGGGCACATAAAAGAGGCAACTGACAGATCGCGCGCGCTCTCTCTCTCTCTCTCTTTCTCTCTCTCAAGTCAATGAGTATATCCTCAGGTAAGGATTAAAAAAATTATAGGGGTTATGCACAGCATGGAAATGCTTTATTAAAATAAGTAAAAGTATTCTATTACAATACTAATTTTAAAGGATATAGTCATAATTTTTTAACAACTACAAGAATACGAAAACAGGATTTTAACCTCTATTTTTCAAATGAATATTGAAAGGGCAAAGTTGTGCCCTACCAGAAGGGGTCCAGTCAATGGTACGTTTGGAGCTGGCTCTTACAGGTTGGCGAGAGACAACTGTTCAGGATTAATGTAAATGCTAAGATCAGGGGGTGTCTTTTGTTTATTTTTTGCTCCCCACCAAACAGCTAGTTTACGTGCACACCACTGAGCACAACTTATTCCTCAAGTACTTCATTTGGTGGAGTGGTAAAATATGGACTGACGAGGTGATTTTGTTTTTCTGTATTTGGCTGTTAGAATATTGTCTATGGAATAAACTTTTTAGCATTAATCGTTTTACCAGACCATTTAAAAAAACTTTCAAAGAGGTATTTTGAAGATATATTCCTATTGCTGTACAAAGTAAAAAAGAATAACTCCAGTTTTGAAAATGTCACTATACATAAATCTTAAAGCACCCACATACAGGTTATTCTAGAGGCCATCAGGAAAACTCCTATTTTGTGTTTGTGTAAAAGAGGATTGTTTCAAAGAAACAAAATCAATTGGGTATTTGAAACTAAAAATCACTTTACAGGTTTTATCCGCATTAGGCTATTTCTTGAATAATACTTTTTTTTAAATCCTTACCTGAGGACATTTTTTAAAATTGCTCTTAGAGATGAAGGGAGGGAGGGAGAGGAAGAGAGAGAGAGACACACACACATCAGTGGGTTGCCTTCTTGTACATGCTCTTACCAGGGATCGAACTCACAACCAGGGTAGGTGTCCTGGCCAGGAATCAAATCTGTAACCTTTCGATCTATGGGACAAGTTCTGACCAACTGAGCCACACCAGCCAGGGCTTGAAGAATACTATTTTCATATTCCTATCTCAGAGAAAGCAGAAGTGAGAACGATGAGTAAGTAGGAAGTGCTGGTTTGGGGAATTTACTGAAATGAAGGAGCTAAAATTCTGTATTGACTTGCAGTTGCTCCCTCTTTTATTTTAGTAAGTTAAGTCCCACCTCATAAGCAAAAGGTGTCAGCACTCCTAAGGAGCTGGTCACAGGTGTGAGTAAGGCAATCAGGCAACACCTGGATGGGGACAATGACGAGCAGGCTGGTGGGCTTTACAGCCTTGCAATGATGGGGACAATGGGCCTTCACAGTTTCCTGTACAAGTTTGGTGCTGGCTGCCTCTCAAATTTAATGAAGAGCTTCCTGTGGCTACGGTAGCGACCACCTAGTGGTTCTCTTCAGAAAAGTATGTGGGTAAAATCCCAGGCTGTAGATTATCAAGAGCATAAGAACGTAGATACTAAACTATGTGTGGGATGAGCACAGGGTCGCAGAACCTCCCCAAGAAGAAAGAGGAAAGCCAAAGCTGTCTACAATTTAGTTCCAACAGTGAAATTAAGGAGCTCCCAACCAGTGAAAGCTACCAGTCCCCAGCCACCAGACTGACGTAGGTTGAAAACATCTCTTTGTTTTTCTTCGTGGACTTCTCACCTGACTTATATCTGTTTTTCTGCCCCTCCCGATCAGTAGAACTCTAGTCCCAGGAGAGCAGAGACTTTGTTTTGTTCACTGCTGTTCCCACGGCCCCTAGAAGGCCTGTTCCACAGCAGCCCTCACACCCCGGCCAGGCCAAAGAGCCCGGGAGTCCGCCTTCGGGGGGCCGTGTGAACAGGTGTCACTTACTTGTTATAAACTGGAAACACGGACAAAACCTGTGTAGGAAAAAATAGTATTACGAAAACTATTAAAACGGAGAAGATATACATGTAGAATATCCATAGGATATTCTTTACCTCAGAAAAACCTATGGATAAGAATAAAGTTAACACTTTATCTCAGAGTGACAGAGTTACAGACTTCCGAATCCCTTCTTCTTTGAAACAATGAACCCATATAAATTGCATCTGTACATTTGTCTAACCTATGCAGAAAAACATAGATTAACCTATACAGAAACAAGTTCAGAAAATGTCATCTGACTTTTTTTTTTAGTGCTTTCCACCAGGTCAAACTTATATTCTAGCATTTGCATCTTCCACATTTGCTTGATTTCAGAAGAGAATATTTTATTCAATCACTTTTAACAAAAACAGCAAATAATCTGAGCAAAAACTGGACATCCCAATACAAGTTACCTGGAAGAGGGCCTCCAGGGTGAGGTTTGCTTGGCCTGTGGCATTAAGGGCTTTGATGGCAGGTGTTCTGTAAGGACAGTGGTCAAAAGTCACTTGGCACTTGAGGAAACCCTGAACCCCATCAGTTCTCATTTTGGGAATCTCAGTGTGAAACTCAGTCTCATTATCTCCATTTCCCCAAACAGATCTGGCCCCCAAGCTGCATCTTCCCTTGCCCCAGACCACTGTGGTGGGATTAATTCAACAGGCGGGTGCACGAGCCCCATCTGCTCAAGGAGGCTGGGCTGCTAAAAACATATCGCTGTGAAAGTGAATAGTTGCCGCCAAACCCCAGGGTTGGGGGCGGGGCAGTAAAGCCAAGGAGAAATACACACTCTTTGGGGACACACTGACTTACAATTATAGAAGTTCCAAAATTAGAAGGGACAATGAGATCCTCCAACTGGTTTGTTTATTTATTTTTTTAAGTGTGGAAAATGTTTTCCTTTAAAAAAAAAAGCCTTACAGAGAAAACCAGGAATCTTGGTGTATCTTCTCCTTTTACAGAGGGGTGAAGGGGGGCCCAAAAGGCCACTCAGTGAGCCATTCACAGAGCTCGTGGTGGAATCTAGGGCTTCTGACCCTGAGGCCAGGGCCAACCTTCCCCTCTCCAAACCCAACCAACTGTCAAACGGCTCTCTCCCGTGTCCCCCACCATACACTACGCTCTCCCACTCCGACCCACAAGGGCAAGGGGAGCCAGGTATACTTTCTGGGAGGGAACAGCACCTGCACTCTTCTTTGGCTCCTGTAATAGGAGTGGTACATTCTTCTGACCACAAGGAAATACTGCAAACCAGACAGAGGCCTACCTTCGGTCATCTTCCTTAGGTGCGGGCTTCCAGTGGTCGTAATTTGTCTCAACTCGGAACCACCTACAACAGAACACAGCATCTTATCTTACCAAGGCCATTGGAGACATAACTAAAGAAGGAATACATAAAAATAGAACACACCTCCAGTTTCACCTATATAAAAAAAGATTATTAATGTAAAATGACCAGAGCCTTTCATTTTACTTACGCTCCACTTAAAGGATCCAGAGGCCAAATGTCCACCGGGCCATTTCTGTTCCTTGTAATGACCACTCCTTCCCGGGGGGATGTGCCACCAACAATATAATACACATCAGCAATAAGGGGAGTTGTGGACAATTTGTAAACAGCGGCTTCAAAGTTTTCTGATTCGCTCAGAGTCTGAAGAGAAAGACAAACCTGCATTAGCATCATCATACATGTGAATATATTAAAATCAGCAAGGTGCATGCTTCAAAAAGATGAATTGTATGGCATTTACTTAGATACTTCAATTAATTATGCATCTACCTTATGACCCATCAATTCCATTCTTAAGTACTGACCCAAATGAAATGCACACGTTTACAAAAAGACTTGTACAGACTTCCAGTCAAGATGGCAGCACAGGCGGGCATGTCACCTCTTTACTCAACCACATCAAAATTACATCTAAAATATAGGACAACCATCACTTGGAACCATCAGAAATCTAGCTGAATGGAAGTCTGACAACTACAGAATTAAAGAAACCACATCCAACCAGACTGGTAGGAGGGCTGAAGAGGCGGAACAGGCTGGTCCCACAACCATGTGTGGTGGATAAAAACTTGGGAGGGATATCTCAGAGGTGAGGAGTCCCAGCCCCACACCAGGTCCCCCAGCCCAGGGTTCCGGTGTCAGGAAGATAGGGCCCCACAATTGCTGGCTGCAAGAATCAGTGGGGATTGAGTCGGTGGAAGAAAAATGCTGGAGCCCCAAACAATTCCTCTTAAAGAACCCACATAGGGACTCACCTACTCAGACTCACTCCATCTAAACTCCAGCATCGGGGTAGTGGCTTGAAAGGCACCAGTGGCATAGTGGGAGAAACTGAAGTGTCTGACATCAAGGCAAGCAGAGGCCATTGTCCCTTTTCTAAACCCTCCCCCGACAGAGCCACAGAGCCAGCAAGTTGGTGCCATATCTGAGACTCCATCAACCTGCCTAACACTGTTTGACCCACCTTGGAAATCCCAAGAGACTCTGCCCACCAAACTTTCAGGCCCACCCAAGCTGCTTTGCCACATGAATGATGGGTCTTGGCTCATGCTTCACACCTTCCTAAATCCTCTCAAACAAGCAGCAGCTGGCCTCAGTGAGCCCCAGGCCTGGCACTAGCAGCAGCCAGCCTAGATTCACAGCTTGACTTCACCTGGGAATCTCCAGTCTCAGCACAAGTAGCAGCCATCTCAGACTTCTTTATAACTCAGGCAGGGTGGCCTGGGGCAAAACACAGGAGGAGGCTGACCTTGGCCTGCACCACCAGGAAAACCACAGGGCCAATGAACCCAGTGGACAGCTACAGACCACTTCAGAGGACCACCACCTTGTCCCTGAACAGGTGACCCTCCACGGACAGTGGAGGTTGGTGGTTAGTGGTCACAGCCAATCCTTGCAGCTGACTGGCCTAGCTAAATCCTTCCTGTTGATCTGCCAACAGCAACTAAGCCTCAACTACAAGAGGAGGGCGTACTCAGCCCGCACAATGGGCGCACCTCGAGTATCCAGCTTGGGTGATAGAGAAGGCTGTCCCACAGGACCCTACAGGACACCTACTACATTTGGCCATACTACCAAGACACGAAGTCAAAGCAGCTACGTAGAAACAAACAGAGGGAGGCTGCCAAAATGAGGAGACACAGAAACATGGCCCAAGTGAAAAAACAAAACAAAACTCCAGAAAAAGGGCTAAACAAAATGGAGATAAGCAATCTATCAGATGCAGAGTTCAAAACACTGATTATTAGGATGCTCAACAAACTTAGTGAGGACCTCGACAGCATAAAAAACATCCAATCAGAAACAAAGGATACACTAATTGAAACAAAGAACCATTTACAGGGAAACAACAGTGGAATGGATGAAGCTAAGAACCAAATCAATGATTTGGAACATAAGGAAGCAAAAAACAATCAGTCAGAATAAGAAGCAAAAAGAATCCAAAAAAATGAGGATAGTATAAGCAGCTTCTGGGACAACTCCAAGTATTCCAACATTCACTTCATGGGGGTTCCAGAAGGAAAAGAGAAAAAGCAAGAAATTGAAAATTTTTATTTGAAAAAATAATGAAAGAAAACTTTCTTGATTTGGTGAAGGAAATAGACATGCAGTTCCAGGAAGTACAGAGAGTTTCAACCAAGAGGGATGCAAAGAGGCCCACTCCAAGACACATGATAATGAAAATGCCAAAGGTTAAAGATAAAGAGACAATCTAAAAAACAGCAAGAAAAAAGCACTTAGTTAGCTACAGGGGAGTTCCCATAGGCTGTCAGCTGATTTCTCAAAAGAAACTTTGCAGGCAAGAAGGGATTGGCAAGAAATATTCAAAGTCATGAAAAGCAGGGACCTCCAGCCAAGATTGCTCTACCCAGCAAAGCTATCATTTAGAATCAAAGGGCAAATAAAGAGCTTCCCCAACAAGAAAAAACTAAAGGAGTTCATCATCACCAAACCATTATTATATGAAATATTAAAGGGAATTATGTAAGAAAAAGAAGATCAACATTATTAACAATAAAATGGCAAAAATACATATCAACAATTGAATCTAAAAAACAAATTAAGCAAAGAAGAAGAACAGAGACAGAATTATGGATACAGAGAGCGTTTTGATGGTTGCTAGACTGGGGGCAGGGAGCTCAAGGAGATGAGTGAAGAAGTGAGGGGACTAAGAAGTACAAATAGGTAGTTACAGAACAGCCATGGGGATATAAAGTACAGTGTAGGAAAGGGAGCAGCCAAGGAACTTATACGCATGACCATGGACATGAACAATGGTTGGGCAACTGCCTGAGAGAGTGTGGGGTGCTGGGTAGAGGGGGGCAAAGGGGGAAAAATTACAACTGTAATAGCATAATCAATAAAATATAATTTAAAAAAAAGACTTTTACAGGAATTTCTATGATAAGTTATTCATAATAACCCCAAACTGGAAACAACCCAATGTCTACCAACAAGAACATGGATAAACACTGGTATATTCATAGAATTGAGTATTCTTCAACAATAAAAGGAATGAGCTCGTGACACAAATAACATGGATAAACCTGAAAAACATTACTCTGTGTGAAGGAAAATGAATTCACATACTATGATTTCATTTCTATGAATTCTTGAACAGGCAAAACTTTTCTGTAATGAAAGAAGCCAGAGTGGTTTCCCAGGAGGAAGCTGGGTGTCAGAGGAGGTTGGGCATTCCTAGAGAGGACGCGAGGGGAATCTCCAGGGACTTGGACATGTTCTGAATCTCATTTTGTTGGTTGATACAGGGGTGGCTATATGTGCACCACTGTCAAAACAAGAACCAAACTGTGAATATCTGTGCATTTCATTTTATTTAAAGTATATCTAAAATTTTTCAGAATCATTTTGGTGTTCAGATTCCACTGGATGGATTTAAATGACAGTTTTATTTTTAAATATCAACATTTATAATACATTGGATTTTTTGCAGCTTTTTAATCTTCTGATGAAAAAATTTTGAAGTCATTTTAAGAATGTGTAAAGGATGCATAGTTTGTCAACATCTTTAGGGAGGACCCAAGTAAAAAGTTTAGGAGAACAGCAAGTCCAGAGGGGCTAGATCATTTAGGGTAACACAAGGAAGGACCAAACAGGCTAAGCCAGGCAGAGCCAGATTGCACCAGAGACGTGCTCTTGAAGATAAGCTCTCTGTGGTCAAATGGCAATTTATATGTGGCCTGGAACTCTGCTGTCTAATAGATCCTCTAAAGCAGATGTTCCTTTTTAATGTGTGCAGGGCTACCTTCTAATGCATTTGTTTTGCTAAGTCAAATATTTGCCAATGGAGAGTCTAAGGAGTGGGGGGCACATCTATATTTGCAGAAAAGCGTAATATCTCTTCTCTCAATCAGCTCTTGTGGACAAGTCTGGCCTATGACAAAGATTCTTTCATTGACCAAACTTTAGCCAGCCTCCTCGGAGCCCTCCTCTTGACTAGGCCTTCGCCTTGGCCTATAAAGACACGAACAAACCCTAACGTAGTTTCTAACAGCGCAAGGCCACAGCCCTATGGTGACCCTAGTCCCCCGTATAGTGACTGCCTGAGAAAATTCAAGGCTGCTGTAGGGGAGCAGAATCTGCCACCCCAAAATACGTCTCTGGCATAAGGATTATTTTAAGACGGTTAATTTTAAGAAACCACAGACAGAGCAGAAGCTCTGAAAACCAGATAGAAGTTACCCTTTTGTAAGAGACATTTCCATTTGTAAGGGAGCCCTCAATTTGTAAGGGGTGTCTCCCAGGATGAGGATCTCTAAACCGCTAGAAACTGCTTTCAGTGGAGAAGACTTGGACTTAAATCTGCATAAAAATCTTACTTCTTTTAATTTAAAAAAATTTTCAATTGCAGTTTACATTCAACATTATTGTGTATTAGTTTCAGGTGTGCAGCACAGTGGTTAGACACGCATATGGTTTACATAGCGTCCCCCTGATATTTCCAGTACCCACCTGGCGCCACACACAGTTATGATAATATTATTGACTGTATTTCCTACGCTGTACTTTGCATCTCCACAACAGTTTTGTAACTACCAATCTGTTAAAAATCTTCCTCTTTTTGCTGTGCTTTTCCTGGTTACCTCCTGTGCCTGAGTCCCCACACCCACCATTTCCTTTTGTCTTTAGCTGAACATGGTATTTAAGGTAATGGCTTCCACCGTTTTGGTGAGAGTTGCTCAGTTTTCCTGGGTGTCTTCCATGTATATACTAGGTATAGAAGTTACTAAACTTTAATTTTTTCCTGCTAATCTGTCTCATGTCAATTTGGTTATTAGATCAGCCGGTTAGATTAGAACTTGGAAGAGCAGATGAAAACTTTCCTCCCTGGCCATTGCCTAAAGATTTTCCTGTTTGTTCCAGCCAGCACCTGAATGCAGGCTCCCAGCCCCCAGTGTCTGCTGGAGGGAAGGAGCTTAAGAGTTAGCAAACTCAGACACGTTTTACAGGAACAAACTCTGTCCTCAGCTTTTGTAATCTGTCGCTCCTCTAACTGTGCCATGCACCCTCTCACCCCTCCCTATTCCTTCATTCTCTTTAAAACACCCAGGCACCTCTGTACAAATCAAAGTTGAGTTCAGTTCACACTGGACACTTTTCCCTATTGCAGTATTATACTACTGACTAAAATCTGTTCTTACCACTTTAGTGTCCAGCTTTGTTTACCTTTGATACTTATGATCAAAATGGTTGATATGCACTTTGCAAACTTTTAGATGCTCATCCATTTTAGGAGTTTCATACATTAAGACCAACATCGTTAAATGACAGGCTGTCACAGCAGGAACATGGTTGCGAAGCTGAAGTTAGGGTGGCATGGGCTCCATGGGCAACATACTCACAGTGCGGATAAGCCAGCTGATCGGAGAGTGTTTCTGAAAAAAGGCAGCGATCACATTCTCCCACCACCAGCCTTTATCTGTCAAGTTGAAGGAACAATAAATATATACCAAGTTGCTGCCACTTTAAAAAATTCCGTAACTCTTGTTTCTTTCCCATAGCATAAGCTGATGGGGGAGAAAGGTTGGTGGATGAAGAGTGATTTTACACGCATCCCGTTTTCAAAGATGAAGCTAAAAGCATTGTCTCCGGGCACCAACGAGTCTGTATTCTCTCTGTCTCTGTCTCTGTCTCTCTCTCTGTGTATCACATCTATTTCTGATCACCACCAATTTCTGGTGCCTGGAAACAATGATAATTATGTTAAAGGAAATCACTCAATTACCTCAGGAAAAATAAAATTATGGAGCTCCCACAAGAAGTGGTTCAGTATGTATTAGGAAGACTGTAGAGAATATATATTTTTCAGAACTTTTAAGTTTGATTTGGGCTCACATTTTTTAAAAAATACAAATTTACAATAATTTCACAAAACCACTTTTTAACATCTTTAAAGATACCCATAGGGGATTTATTTTCAAAGACTAATTTTTCATTCAGGAAATAAGCTTTGAACATCTACTATGTGGCTGTCCAGATAGAGCTACTCCACTTACCCTGTCCCCTTCTCCCTGGGGGGCCTCTGAAGTGTGTACAGAGGCTCTGGTTTATTGACGACTGACCTTAACCTTTCTCAACCATTCAGTCCTTCCTCTGGGGCAAAGTGCCCAAAGAGCAAGTTGTCCTTGATGTTATCTATCTTTTAACTCACCCTGGCACCACGGTGCCCACTATCTGGTCCCTCTGCTTCCCTAGATCACCCCCACATTCTTTTGGAGCATGTACGTCCATTTCTTAGGGAATATAAAACAGGTAGTCTGCGGGATAACCCATTGTCCCTCTGCCACGCAGGACAGCATTTCTGTAAGTTACCTTTAAAACTCTTTAACCTAACAAGCTGGGCTTGTCTGCTGTATCCTCTGGCCTCTCAGCTCCTTCATCATTTGGGGGCCACATTGCTTATATGTCCTTTTCAGGAAACGGTGCCATACCCTGACTTGGTCGAGACCCTTAAATTTAACAGGGACAGAGGAAAGTAGTGTACTGAGGAAAGAGTGAAGAAATAAAATGGAGTCACTACAGTCAAACTTCTGAATTACTATAACCAAGTAGGCTGAGGCATGAAGAAATGATTCTGTTCCTGCTTTAACTAGACAGGGAACTTAAACTTTTGAACTTTTTAGTAGTGTATCAATGCTGGGGTATGTAGATAGGTAGGTAGGTAGATACACAGGTAAACAGACAGACAGACATAGATATAGCATATACATATATCCTAGAGATAGCTCTGTGAAGAACTTAAAAAAGAATGTTCACATGTCTGGACAGCCTGACATTCATTATCCAGAAGCCTGACACTTAGAAGATTACCATTTCTGACCAATTTAGAGGCTAAGAATGCACAACTCATTCTTCTCAAGAGTGTACTTTTACTATAAAAACTCTTTTCTTTCTTCTTTGTAACACGCTGGGTATTGTCTAGCTGTGTATCTGGTTTGCACTCTTAAATAAATTTTTGCCCTTCCTTTCTTCCTTTCCTTCTTCCTTCCTTCCTTTCCTTCCTTTTTTTGTCTTTCTTTCTTTTATAAGATTTTATTTATTTATTTCTTACAAAGAGAGGAAGGAAGGAAGAATGAGAGGGAGAGAAAGATCAATGTGCAAGAGATATATCAATTGGTTGCCTCTCACACACCCCCAACTGGGGAAGCTGGCCCACAACACAGGCATGTGCCCTGACTGGGAATCAAACCTGCGACATTTTGGTTCACGGGCTGGCACTCAAACCACTGAGCAACACCAGCCAGGGCAATTTTTGCCATTTATTTCTAAAAAAGCCTCCTGATTCTTTGTGCTCCAATGACCGAACCATTAAACAAACAAGTTTTAAATAACTCTAACAAAGAAAATAAGACAGAATAATGTAAGCATGAGTGACAAGTGAAGATTTCTTTCAAGAAGAACGTAAGGAAAGCCGCTCTGAGTTTTGGACACTTGAGCTAAAATGGGATGAACATTTCAGGCAGAGGGCATGGGTGTCAGGGAGCCACGGCAGGAACAAGGTGGACAGATGTCAGGAAAAGATGGTGAGGTGCGGGGGGGGGGGGGGGAGGGAGAAGGGGATGGGCATAAAACGAGGTACAGAGTTCTGAGGTCAGAGTCAGGACTCTGGATTGGTCATAAGTGAAATGGACAGTCACTGCAGGTGTTTGGAGTTTTTTAAAAAGATTTTATTTATTTATTTTTAGAGAAAGGGGAAAGGAGAGAGAAAGTGAGGAACAGAAACATCAATGTGTGGTTGCCTCTCACATGCCCCCAACCAAGCACCTGACCTGCAACCCAGCCATGGGCCCTGACCGGGAATTGAAACCAGCGACCTTTGGTTCACAGGCCGGCGCGCAATCCAGTGAGCCACACCAGCCAGGGCCTGTAGGTTTTAAACAGAGGAACAGCCTGATCGTGCTAGCTGCTAGATAAAGGAATTACAGAAGAGTGAGAAGTAGGGAGACCAGAGGAACAGGGACTGCAGCAGTGCAGGTGGGATGGCAGCGAGCCTTGCAGTGAAGGGAGACAGAACGGGCAGGGACAATCTAGTTTTGGTGGCAGAGGGGACAAGACTTGAGGAGTGAGGAGGGTCAAAGAATTCTCCCGGTACAATCAGTTGATTAGAAGTGCCATTTCCTAAGACGTGGAACAGATTTGGGTGGAGGAAAGAAAAGAAGGAAAGAAAAAGGCAAGAGATCTGTTTAAGCATGTTAGTTTTGAGACTTAATTGACGGCGGAGTGGAGAGGCTGAGATGGTGGTTGGGCACTCCGATCTGGGTGTCAGGGAAGGTCAGGCCTGGGCAGGTGACGATGACAACACATGCTTCCATGGCCCTTACTCTGTGCCAGGCACTGCTCTGGGTACTTTACATACGTGAACTCCTTTCATCCTCACCACAGCGATTATCATCCCTGCTTTCCAGAAGGGTAACTGAAGGACAGAGAGGGTTATAAGCACCTTGGTTACGGTCACCCCGCAAGCAAGGGACAGCACCAAGATGTAAACCGAGGCAGGCTGGCTCCAGAGTCGGAGATCTCAGCTGCCAGGGGGTTAGTCAGGGCTCCTCAGACTCCGTGCGGTCCGTCAGCCCTCCCCGCTCTCCCAGGGCGCTGCTGGCTCTCGCCATCACGCCCAGGAACTGACTGAACACCGTATCTCCAGAACCAAGAGACGTTCCCTTATTGCTCAGGCATTTCAACTCAGTCTTAGCAGAGTAAAATAGAGTTTTCATTCAAATCAGATTTTAAAAAGTTTTAAAAAAGCGGTTTGACAGTGTTTAATTAAATGTGTATGTTATAAAATAACTTAGTTATTTAAAAACTGCTCATACCTTAGGCTCTGCTAATCAGTTTGTTAAACAATTTGAGTTGCAAAATGATGGAAACAAAGCCCATCTTCTTACTAAATACACATGTGTTTACAGACATTCTGTGTGAAATCTTGATAACCACCATGCTGTGGTTGGGGTACTGCTTGAGAACCAGTCTCACTCACAGCTGACATTTGAGAAAATGTTGGAGAAGTACGTACATTAGAATAGAGAACTAACTAATATATACTCAACCAGCATCTTCCTGATAAAGCTTTTTTTATGTCTAAAATAAGAATAAACCTAACCAATAAACCTAACCAGGTTGGTCAGCTGGGTTCATCAGTGACCAACACTAAACTTTAAGAGATTCCTTCTGCATTTCTCTTTTACTCAGCTGCAAGTTCCTGAGGTCAGAGACAAGCGTTTGTCTGTCTCTGGGTTTCCCACATGTTGTGGAACTAAATGATGTCCCCCGAGATTCAGAGAACAGCAGTGGGACTGTATGACGAAAAGAGCTTTGGCCCAGGAACCCATGACATCGATTTGAGAATTACCTCTCCCCCTCCCCCCTGCCATCTACTAGCTGTTGTTTCTTCTCATAGCCTCACTTTCCTCCTCTGCAAAGTGAATGGGCTTAATAATACCAGCCCTGCCTATGTAAGAGGACCGTTGTGAGTCTCTAATGAGAAAACGTATGAGAAAGTACACAGTAAACTGTAAAGTGCTTTACAGACGTTGCCCGTGGAAAGCCATCATATAGCCTCGACGTTACTTCAATAGCTTCCTAACAGTCTTCTGCTTCCATCCGAAGCCAACACAGTTCAGTCTCTACAGAGCAGCCAAAGTGATAGCTAAAAATACAAATCAGATCTGTTCACTCCCTGGCCTAAAATCCTTAAGAGCTTTCATCGGGCTTAAAACCCAAAGTCCTCCCCATGACACTCACCACGGCCTCAGCCTTCCTCTCCGCCTTTCATGTCCCTCTCTCCTTACTCCGTGCCGTAGCCATGCCACTGGGATCCATCAGGATGCTCTAGGTGCAGCCTCTATAGACCTGGCTCCTGGATCAACCGAGTCAGGCCTTCCCTGACCCTCCAGCTATAGTAACCTCCCTACCCCCCACCTCTTCGCTCTATCACACTGTCCTGTTTTACTTTCTTGGTAGCACTTATAACTACCTGCCGTCATCTTCCTTGCTTACGTGCACACTGCCCAGGGACCCCATTAGGACACAAGTCCCCACCATCAAGTGAAGTAGGTGTTCTTCTGTGTGTTCTGTTGGGTGAGTCAATGAAGTACTTGGATAAAACTGAACAAGGAAGTAGCTAAAAATGCTTGGGAGTTCAGTTTGATTACCTCGTTCGTCGCCAGAAATTGTAAACTTGTGTGGACTCTGACCAGTCCATAATCCCACATAGCCAATGAAAGTGGTTCCTGTGAATGCAATCTGAAATCAAGAAATAAGGTATCATTTTACCATTCCAACCAAATATACTTTGAAATCACCCCACCATTTCATAGATTTTTTTTCTCCTTCTAAGATTCTAACATAATAGAATAAAAACCCTGAAAGAGCCTTCTAGAAGGCTTAACCTTGGCTAGAATTCAGAGGACCTGTGACCTTGAATTGGAGAAAAAAAAGTACTTCTTTATTTGCTCTAACCTCTAACTGAAATTTCCTTGTTCTGCAATAAATACATGCAACAAACCATGTCACCACAGCAGTGTCTGTGATTCCATCACCAGCAGAATTGCAAATATTTTCACACATATAATGGTATCATATCTATTTTGCTGCACTACGCATACATTGTCTTGAAATATCATTCACACTTATCACCACCCTGAAATTATGGTAGTTATTAGAGCCACTGCCAAATTTTACTATTTAATGTGTTAAAAAAATATAATATTGAAGTGGCTGTATTTCAACATAATGGTTTTTTTTGTAATCCCATGCATTTTATATTGTATTATAAACCAGAATTCTGAGAAGGGATCAGCAGGCTTCACCAAAGGGGTTCCCACATGGAGAAGGTTAAAAACCTCCATCCTAGAAGTAGGAATACGTGGGAAACCCTGCGTTGTTTGAACTTTTTTTTTTTTTTTACATTTTATTTATTTACTTTTAGAGAGGGGAAGGGAGGGAGAGAGAAGCATGGTGTGGTTGCTACACGTACCTCTCCTACTGGAGACCTGGCCTGCAACCCAGGCATGTGCCCTGACTGGGAATCAAAGCAGCAACCCTCTGTTTTATAGACCAGCACTCAATCCACTGAGCCACACCAGCCAGCGCTGTTTGAACTTTTAATGAGAAAAAGTTTTTTGTTTGTAAAAGCAGATGACCAAATGAGTAGTTAGAAAATGAGTTTTTCATAGTTGTGACTCAGCCTCTAAATGCAAAGAATAAACAAGCCCTGACTAGTATGGTTCAGTGGGCTGGGTGTCCTCTGGCAAATGAAAACGTTGCCAGTTCGATTCCCAGTCAGGGCATATGTCTGGGTTACAGGCCAGGCCCCTGGTTCAATTCCCAGTCAGGGCATACGGCTGGGTTACAGGCCAGGCCCCTGGTTGCGGGGGGCACATGAGAGGCAACCGATAGATGTTCTTCTGTTTCTCTCCCTCTTTCTCTCTCCCTTCCCATCTCTCTAAATAAATAAATAAAATCTTAAATTAAAAAATGTTTTTAAAAGGATAAATAGAATACAGTTCTTGTCCTTAAAGAATGTCCCCCAAAGCCAAAATCTGGCTCTGGAATGCTCCATTCTGTTTCATAGCAATAGCATGCTACATGTGCTCAATGACCGTTGATGAATGCTGTCTCCCGAAAAGTTTACACGGAAATGTGTATTAGATTATACATTTAAATAAGTAACAGAACTTGGATACAACTCACCAGTGTTTGTTGGGTGTCACTAGTCCTTATTATGATGAAAATAAAATGATTTCAGTATAATTTCTTAAAGATCATAAATAAAAGAGTGGTGTGGGTCAATCATAATAATAAAAAGGGCCCTTTGTTATTTGGCCACATTTATCAAGCATCTACCACATGTTTTGCATAGATTTTTACTTCACTCAAACTTGAGAACTATCTCCATAAAGTAATTATCAACCTCTCTGAGCTGTAGTCTGCAAAATGGGTTTAAGTGATTTCCCATGTTCACAAAAGAAGTAAGCAACAGAAGCAGGATTCAAAGTCAGGGCTGAGACCCCAGAGTTGGGTATGTCTAGCCATTGCACCACACAGCCACCCCCGTCCCTATGCCAGGAGCAGCCCGAACATGGGAGAGCAGAAGAAAGAGATGACTAGGCATCGTAAGTGGACAACAGACCATCCCTTCATAGAGATTTCCCTAAGGAATATGGACTGACCTCTCTAACTAGATGCTTAATAATAATAGATGACACTTCTTTCCATAAGCATAATGGATGTAAACCTCTCTTCTGGTATGTTTTTCCAGGAGTTTGATGTTTTTTGTATCTTAAACAGGTCACATATTTAAGTAGTAGGCCACCCTAATGATTGCTAACTTGGGTTAGCAAGTCTCCGGTTTCAGAATCTTAGGCTGCGCAGACTGTACCTGCCCATTCTTTACGAACTGCACATTCATGGTCATCTTGCGTAAGAAATCTCCAAACGGATAATCCAGATTCCGGCCATGGTAAATGTGGCCTTTGGAGTCTTGAGCCACAATACTTGTGCAGAATCTGAGAAAAGGGGGAAGCCCAACAGGAATGAGTGCGAAAAATAAGAAAAAGGAAAATGAGTTTTTCGGTTTCAAGATAAGTCCTTAGAGTCAAACACAATTGTTACTCCTTACAATGGACACATAAACTATATAATTCTTGTACAAGACTATGTATTCACAATTCATAATGAAAATCCAACTAGACACAGCTCATCAGTGTTTAGTGCTACTAGACCTTTGTCCTTGGCACACACAGCATTGAAAACATACTGAAGGAGGATTTCGTTCTAAATCTAAATCTGAAATTGACCTATTCTGGGCTCAGCTAGGACTGAGCTTTGCTTACACCTCTGCAAGGCGGAGTGCAGCCTGTTTAACACATCGGTCAAAGCTTGCTCAAGATCATCACTCTATTCTACGAATTTCTAAAAGCAAGTAGACCGGTCACCTCTTAGGGACTTGGTACTTTTCCTGTCCCCTTTAGAGGAAAGGATCCTTTTAAAAGTCTCAGCCAGAGAGAAGTAGTTTGAGGAAAAAAGGAAATGTGGTAAGATATCTAAATGTTTGTATTCTCTGAAGATATATGTGAAAAAATATTTACATACAGCACACCCAGCCATGGGGGTTTGGGGGGAGATGTATATCCTCACAAAACCTAGAGGAAACACCTTGAAGAACTGATGGTCATTTCTGAGTAATAGCATGTGGTTAATTTCACTTTTCTGTATATACTAATCTTCTAGAACGATTACATATCACCTACATAATTAGGAGAAAACAAATGTTATTTAATTTGTTGGTTTAAAGAAGGAAGCTTGGTCAGGTTTAAATTTTTTTCAAGGTTTCTGATCTTAATTTCAAAGAGTTCATGTCAAGGTGGGGACTGATAAAACACTGGAAGTGGCTAAAATAAAGCAAAGTTTGTGGAATCTTTCCCAAAGATGATTTTTCAAAACTGGAAAGACAATAGTACTTCCAGGTCCTGCCCAAATGTTTCGCAGGAGGCAGCCCACAGGCACCGGCGACAATGGGGGCTGGGCTCCGCTTCGGGAGAGGCTCTGCAGCGCACTGGAGACACACATGCTGTCCAGTCTTATCCTGATTCAAAAAGCCTTACATCAGAAATGAGAACGAAACATTTCCTTCATTAATGCTAGCGGAGTCTGACTATGTTTTATATTGTCAGGCAATTCAATATATACCTTAATATCACATTCCAAAGTTGGAATGTTCTTCCTAGAACTTCTGCTTCAGTCAGTGACTCCAACAAAAGAAGGTGAAAGGGAACATGAAAATTGATTTTTTTCCCCCCCACTGAGAAAGCCACATGTCAGAGCAGGGAAAAGATGGGGGTGGGGGATGAAGAATGGCAACATTAACTTAGTCCCATTGAAAAGCACTTTAACAAGTTTGCGTCCTGTGTCTTGAAAACATTTTCCTAGAAAGAATGCCGGTCACAGTAGATCTGAACCTACCCTGCCTAGTTTTGGGAAGGTGCCAGAGGAGGGGGGTAGTAAAGTTTCATTATCCCAAGAACTTTTGTCATGATCCTTTGGCAGCCAGAAGCTATTATCTGCAAGATGTTACTAGATGAGGCTGGTCTGTTTGCAAAACAGTTAAATCCTGAAGGCAGAAACCAAGTCCAATCTCTTAATTCTGGGACCTGTTAATGAGTCCATGGAGACTTCAGGCTCCCCCTGCACTCCGCCCGGAATCAGCCAGGCATTTGGTACTGCTTTCACGTTGGTGCGCCACTTTTTACAATGCCCACTCAGTGAACCAAATATCGGGGGGTCTTACTCGCCAGAACGGTCTTCAAAAACTTCCTGGAAAGTATCCATTGAGCAGAGTTTCGAAAGTGGGATGCCACCTGGGTTAGTGGAGGGAGAAAAGGGGGCTTCAGGTAGAGGAAAAGTTCAGTGTTGAGGTCAGAGAAGCTGCCCGAAGCCCATGATTTAGCCAGGGAGGCAAAGAGGAAGTGTTGGGGGTTTCTGGGCAGTCCAGCTGCCACTCTGCTTTCTCACACTGAAAACGCGTCTGCTGCCACTCAGATGTGGCAGGTGATCCTGGCAAGCCCACGTTAATCACGCTGCGTGGGGCACTCACTCACGCGGTGAACTCGTAGGCCAGGTTAATGAGGAGGCAGTCGGCCAGGCTGAAGTTGAGGACGTCGCACATGCCGCGGATCTCGTCGGTGAAGGGCTGGGGCAGGGAGCCTTCCAGCTCCCTGACCGCCTTTCGCATTACTGCGTGGACCCACTTGGGGACCGAATCCCTAGAAACAAAAAGCCACGAGGGTGTTTGAGCTCCGATGTTGGAGGGGCGCGAGTGCGTGTGTCTGGGGGACTGGGGGTATCTAAGGCTCTCATCTTTAGGGGTGAGTGCTCTGTGCCTTCCTTCCCCAGAGGCCTGACAGCTCAGGTCCCGCATTACCCGATCCGCAGTCTCCAGGAGAGAAAAAGAAAACTTTCAAAGCAGAGAGAGGGAGTGCCCCCAAAGGGGCGGGCTTGGAGGGCCCGCGAGGCCCACAAGGAGGGAGTGGGCTGGGTCCCCTGCTCAGCAGCTGGGCGGCCGGGGCAACATCTCGCGCGCCACCCTGACCTGGAATGTCTCGAGGGAGGGCGTGCCACTAGTGCCACCGAACTTGAAGGCCAAACCCGTCGCCCCGGATCATCTCCAACCTTGACGCTGCCTTAGAGCAGCAGCAAATACCAGTTCTGGTCCCCGCCAACCCCTCCACGCCCCAGAGGCCGGGAGGAGGGGGGTGGGGTGGAGGGCAAGGCTGTCGCGGAGGGAGGGAAAGGGGGACCAGTCTCGGTTCAAGCACACTGTGCCGCGTGCGCGCGCGTCTGCGCTTTCCCGTGCTCGAGCCGGGGCAGACTGTCCCAATAGACCCCGTCCCGCGCTCACCCGAGGATGTGGGCCATCGTGGCACGCACGAAGTCCAGGTCGAAGTGCTGCAACGCCGGCAGCCAGCGCAGCTCGGGGGCCGTGTCCAGGCTCACGTTGAAGAGCGGCGGGGCTGGGGGCACGGCGGCGGCAGCCACCCGGGCCCCGGCCGAAAGCAGCAGCAGCATTGCCAGCGGCAGGCGCGCCCCCGAGCCCGCAGTTTGCATAGCTCGGGTTAAGCGGCCACACTTAAAACCGCTTCGGCCCCGGCCGGCGCCCGGCGAAGCGCAGAAGGAGGAGGAGGAGGAGCCGGGGCGGTGGTGGGAGGGCTGGAGGCGGAGCCCGCTCGCGGCCTGACCTGCCTGGTCACCCGCGACCCGGAACGGCCAGATTAGCTGTTCCCGCCGCGCTTCCCCGGTGCGTCCATCGCTCCCGCCTGGGCCGCAGCCGGAGTCCCGCCGCGCTCTCCCTCCTGCGGGGGCGCTACATTTTGCGGGCCGAGGCTACTCACCCCTACTCCCTACCCCATCTCACGGACGTGGGCCAGGAGAGTGTAAACTCTGGCCTCGAGGGGGTTAAGGAAATGATTTTCAGTAGCGAAGAGGCAGCAAGAGAGTCCTAAACTAGTAGAGGGGAACCAGTCCCTACCTCTCCTCCTCATTTGCTTATATTTAAATTCTGAAAAGGTTTATGTGGATTTTATAAGAGGAAGGAGAGCTTTATTTTGTTCACCAGGCCCACCTCCTTTATGTTAAAAAAAAAAAAAGCTAAAAAGTTACATTCACGTGCCGGGTTTTTTTGCCAATTGTTTTTTAACCATCAAAGAAAGTCCAAAGGCAGGCTCAACTAATTCATCCCTGTTTTTCTGGTGCGGAATGTGAAGCTTGTAAAAGTTAGGTTGCCGAAGGTCACACAGCTGGCGAGTCTTTGCTAGGCGTTCAGAATCTCCCTACACAGACTTTCACCTGAAGGGTCCTGGCCAACTTTTTGAGTCTCCAATATCCGGGAGACAGAACACGTGTCTTGGGAAAATCCATTGACTTAAGTAAGCAGGAGAATTTTTAATGGTTAGCAGGGTCGTCTGTGGGTAAAATAGAGTAAATGTGTAGAGAAAACTTGGAAAGTTCTTTTTTTTTTTTTCCCCAGGGTTTTTCTCCCTTTGTCAAATGGAAGGCACCATCACTATCTCTGATTTTTCTTTTTCCTGTCTTTATGGCCCGCATGTCACTGGGTTAAAGTTTCACATCTTTGTTCCTGATTCTTCCTGGTCATTGCTTAAAATCTAAGTCAAGTTCCAGGTCTTAATTTGTTTATTTGCAAAGCCTGGGTAACAGCAGTTGCCTGCTTAAGCCATAGGTGTATTGAGAGAATCACCAAGGGAACAAACAGATTAAAGAGGTGAGCTTACATTAAAAAAAATAATAATAAAGTGACTCTAGTCACTTAGAGATTGATACTAAAAAGAGAAAAACTAAAAACAAATACAAGTGTTTTAAAACAACCATGATAAAATGTATTGTGTGAACAAATCTATACTGTGGTAAAATAGGCATTATTCACAATTAGGCTGAGCTAAATATGATTTTACATAATCTATTCCTCTACTATTGCAAAGTTATAGACATGTTATAGGACAATTTAAAACAAAGGTGAAAAGGGAGATCTGAAATTGCAGAACTCTCTGCCTTCCCCTTCCTGCTGTTGCCACGCTGTGCAGACTGCAGAGATGCTGTGCACCTCTGAGTTCAGGCTTACTGTGGGCCAGAGCCTCCAATTTAAAAAATACTTTTGTGGGGGAACGAAAGAAGTATCAGAAACACTTTTTTTTTTAATAGTTGGCATCTCATTTTGTTCAGTGTAAAAGTAGTGTGGTAGTTTAAAAAATCACCCCTCCCCCCCACCCATGGGCTTAATTTAGCAGCTTGCTTCTTATGAATAAAGCTGAAGTGGTACCTAACTTCCAAGACTAGGAGACACAGGACATCGCAGCTTCCTCCTTTCGTTCTCTTGGATTGCTTAAACTGAATACCTGTCATATTCTGAGCACACTGAAGAAATCTTATGAAAAAGCCCCTAACTTGAGGAACTGAGACCTTTACCAATAGCCAGAGAGGAATTGAGTCTTCTTACTAATATAATCATGCATGGTTTAACACTGGGGACACATTTTGAGAAATGAGTTAGATGATTTTGTGCAGACAATGGAATACTATTCAGCACTAAGAAGAAATGAGTGGTCCCACCATGAAAAGACATGGAGGAAACTTAAGTGCATAGAAGTGAAAAAAGCTAATCTGAAAAGGCTACATACTGTTATGATTCCAAGTCTATGATATTCTGAAAAGGTAAAGTTTTTTAAAAAGTAAACATATCAGTGGTTGTCAGGGGTAAGAGAAGGAAGAATAGGCAGAGCAAAGATGATCTTTAGGGCAGTGAAACTCCCTGTATGATACTACAATGGTAGATACATGCCACTATACATGTGTCCAGACCCACAGAATATGCAGAACCAAGAGTAAACTCCAGTGTAAACTATGAACTGGTGGTGATAATGATGTGTCAGTGTAGGCTCATCAATTGTAACAAATTTAATACTCTGGTAGGAGATACTGATAATAGAGGAGGCTACACAAACGTGGGTAGAGCAAGGGATACTATATATCGGAACTCTCCCTGCATTCTGCTGTGAATCTGAAACTGCTCTAAAAAAGCCTGTAGTTTCAAAAGGATCTAGAACTGGTTTTGAAAGTTCCCAGGTCCAAAGTATACTTGGGAACTTAGTTTATCCCAGAGATGGTGTTGCCTATCTGCGGAGATACTTGCAACACAAGTAGTTGACAAAGAACTGGTATCCCGATATAAAGACCCTATAAATCAATAAAAGAAAAACAAATGGATATAAAAACAGGGAGATTGAAGCTTCCCTTCTCGGGAACAAGTCCACACCTTTCTTCCCTCTCAGAGTGCATCTTTTCTTTCACTCCTGAACTCGAAGGGTCCCATGGATACTTTCAACCAGGGGAGCAATGGGCAACAGGAGCTTGTCCCAGGCTAACGCCCTGAATCTGTCCCCAGGGCCCACTTTGACTTTTCAGTGAGCCAACAGCAGCCCTGCCTTGGCTCACTTCTGTCACTGTGACTTTTACTTCCCAGTGAGGCAACAGCAGCCCCTCATAGTCTCCCCCCGATGCTGCTTCTTCCTAAGTCCTTCCTTGTTTCACTGTCCCTTATCTTTAATAAACATACTCTCAAAACAAGACAATACAAAAAACCCCCCAGGAAAAAATCAAATGATAAAAATCCATGTAAATAATACTATTTGATCAACAGATTGTCTAGAGTTTTAGAGTCTAATGACACCAGCATTGACATGGATGTGACGTGGACTGACACTGAGTTGCTGGTAGGAATGGGAAATGCAGCGTTGCCTAGCAGAGCTGAAGACTGATGGGTCCTACGGCCCGGAATTCCATATCGAGGTTTCCATGAACACTCTGGATAGAGAAGGCTCTAAGACATATGCCCAAGGGGACGTGCAAGGACATGTATTGGGGCAAGATTTTTAAAAAGTGAATATGTGGACACAATCTAATTGTTCTGCAGGAGGGTAAATTGTGGATTTTTGAATAAACAACGGAAAACTCTACAACAGTTAAAATGAAAGAATCTTCATTTATCAAGAATCTAATGTTGAGTCACTTAGTCGGCAAACGGATATATACAATGGTACCGTTTATGTTAAATTTAAAAAAATACTAAATGATACTGTCTACTATATGCGTACACAAGCACAAATGTAGTAAAAATAACAAAAGGAAAGATGGGCAAGGGTAAGTCAGTGATTATCCCTGAGAAAGGAGGAACATGGCTGAGTGGGGCTTTAGCTGTGCTCTTAGTACTCTTGTTCTTTAAAGTAAAAAAAAAAAAAAAAAGGTAAAAATTAAAAAGAAATACATCTGGGAGATTGATATGTTTCATTATTTTCTGTGTTTCTGTGTATTCAAAAATATCACAATTAAAATGGTAAAATATAAAATTTTTCAACAGGGAAAGATCCAAGTATCCTTAAAATAAGAAGTCATGAAATATACTTCTTAGTTTAGTTTCCATGTAATTATTTTCAACTTCTCCTTTTGGTTAACATTTTCTAGAATTAGGTTCCCATTTTGTCCATAATTTATCTTGCCACTTGGTCAAACCCCCTTTTCAAGCATTCCAAAATCTAATGTTACTTAGATATTAGGAAAGACAGGTATTACAAAATTGGATCTTACTAAGATTGGAACTGGAAGTAATGTTTGAGATTATTTTTTAAAAATGTTTAGCATAAACATTTTATAGCAACATTACAAATTATTTTGTGATGGTTAATTTTGTGTGTCAAAGTGACTGGGCTAAGAAATGTCCAGCTAAATAAATAGACATTATTTCTGTGTGTCTGTGAGGGTCTTTCCAGAAGAGACAGCATTTGAATCCATAGACTGAGTAAGGATCACTCTCACTAATAGGGATGGGCATCATCCAATCCTTTGAGGGCCTTAATAGAACAAAAAGGCAGTGGAAGGGCAAATTTGCTCTTTTTACTTGAGATGGAACATCCATCTTCTCCTGCCCTGGGACACTGGCAGTTCTGGTTCCCAGACATTCAGGTGCAGGCTGAATTACACTTCCGCTTCCCCAGCTTGTGACAGCATATCATGGGACTTCTCAGCCTCCATGATCTCATCAGTCAGTTCCCATTTTCTCTTTCTTTCCTTTCTTTCTTTCTTTTCTTTCTCTCTCTTTTCTTTCTTTTCTTCCTTCCTTCCTTTCTTCCTTTTTTTCTTTCTCTCCCTTCCTTCCTTCCTTCCTTCCTTCCTTCCTTCTTTCCTTCCTTCCTTCCTTCCTTCCTTCCTTCTTCCTTCCTTGCTTTCTTTCTTTCTATCCATCCGTCCACCCAACTATCTCTATCCTACTGGTTCTGTTTCTCTGGAGAACTGTAATATTGTACATGTTTAATATGTACAGAAAAAGAAAACTCAAATCAGCTATAGTCTCAGCACACAAAGAGCAGCTATTCTCATGTGGATGGATACCATAAACTTGTTAAGTTGTAAGAAGAGCCATTAGAACCATTATGTTATGTATCTCAAAGAAAAACTTGCTGCCATTTAAACTACAACAATCCATTCTTACTAGAATTTAAAATCTGTATTAAAAACTTTAATTCTATTATCACAGATATGTAAGTCACATATTTATTCTTGTATGTGTTTTAAAAAGTGAAACAAATTGGTTAAGCTATCACGTAAGTGTCTTTGCATTCAAAATTAGACTCTTCTGAATCATCCTGCTTGATTTGGCATCACAGATGCCCAAGTTTCTCCCCACATCGCTCTCTATGCTATTAAGAATCTGTGTGTTGCAGCATTTCTTGAGTCCTCCACTCAAAAGGGGAGCTTCCAAGGTGTTGGTAATGTTCTGTCTCTTGATCTGGGTGCTGATAACAGGGATGTATTTATCTAGTGAGAATGCATTGAGCTTAAGTAAATTTGATGGCACTTGTACTCTTTTAAATGCATATATTATACATCCATATACAATTTAAAAATTTAAAAAATTTCACTATTTTTTTCCTAGAATTTTCTTACAAGCTACTGACTCCTCCATCTGCAAATTTTGATGCTGGTTCTTGTTTTATCTTAGGTGTTTTAGACCCAGTTCATTAATGTGCAGGCCATGAAATTTTGTCAAGACTATCATTTGCTACTTTACCCAGCAAGGCTACCATTTAAAACTGAAGGAGAAACGAAGAGCTTCCCAGCTAGAAAAAGCTGGAGGAGTTTGTTACCACCAAACAAGTATTACAAGAAATGTTAAAAGCCCTTCTTAAAGAATAAAAAGGGGAACATAGTTAAAAGAATAAAATGGCAATAAATCCACACGTATCAATAAGCACTTTATTTTTTAAAAATAATTGTTAGAACTAGTAAGTTTTTAAAAAAATTTTTATTTATTTTTTGAGAGAGGGGAGGAGGAGAGAGGGCAACATCAATGTGTGGGTGCCTCTTGAGCACCCCCTACTGGGGACCCAGCCTGCAACCCAAGCATGTGCCCCGACCAGGAATCGAACCAGCAACCCTTTAGTTCACAGGCCTGGGCTCAATGCCCTGAGCTACATCAGCCAGGGCATTAATAAGCACTTGAAATGTAAATGACTTAAATGCTCCAATCAAAAGATACAGGGTAACTGAATGGATAAAAAAACAAGACTCATATATATGCTGCCTACAAGAGACCCATCTCAGAACAAAAAGATACACATAGACTAAAAATAAAGGAATGGAAAAAGATATTTCATGCAAATGGAAATGAAAAAAAAAGCTGGGGCTGCTTTTTTCATTTTTTCAAGTAGACTGTGAAACAAAGGCTATAGTAAGAGAAAAAGAAGACACTACATAATGATTAAGGGAGCAATCCAACAAGAGGATATAACCCTTATAAACATTTGCAGATGGCATGATAGTGTATATAGAGAACCCTAAAGATGCACCAAAAACTACTAGAACTGATAAATTTAGTAAAGTAGAATACATACTTCTACTAGAAAATAAATATCCAGAAATCAGTTGCTATTTATACACCAATAATGAACTATCAGAAAGGGAAATTAAGAAAACAATCCCATTTACAATTAATAAAAAAAAAATCAAACAAAACCCTAGGAATAAACCTAACCAAGGAGGTAAAAGACCTGTACTCAAAAAATTGTAAGATACTGAAGAAAGAAATTGAAGAAGATACAAGTGGAAGCACATACACTGTCCATGGATAGGAAGGATTAACATCATTAAAACGTCCATGCTATCCGAAGCAATCTACAGATTCAATGCAATTCTTATTGATACCAGTGGTGTATTTCACAGAACTAGAACAAATATTTCAAAAATGTATATGCAGCCACAAAAGATCCTGAATAGCCACAGCAATTCTGAGAAGACAAAAGTAGGAGGAATCATGCTTCCTAATATCAAACTATACAAAGCCATAGCAATCAAAACAGACTGGTAATGGTATAAAGACAGACATGCAGATTAATGGAACACAATAGAGAGCCTAGAAACAAACCCACACCTTTATAATCAATTAATATTTGACAAAGGAGGCAAAAAACATACTATGGTGTACAAAAAAGAGAGACTATCATTTAGTTGCAAAAATTTCGATACATTCCATCCACTAAAAATGTGAAAAATATCTTAAAATTACTCTATACTTTCAAAAATAGCGTATTTTTCACACTAGTGTTTACCTTAAAGTAACTTTTTGTCAGTGATTAATGGTTGAATATTCCATTTAGTAGCAATACCCCAAGTTGCTTAACTATCCCCATATTTGTTATCTTGCACCCATTTCTCCCACTATAAATTATGTTCCTACAGATAGCTTGTTATAGACACTAGTTGTCTATCCAAAATCCACTTTCTTCGCTTCCTTGTCAACAGAAGCTCAGCTTTGTTGGGATGGTTATGGTGTATCTAAGCTGAGAGGCCAACAGTCCTATTTCTTGCTTTCTTGGCTTCCCTCGTTGGCAGGGTAGCCATGTAACCCAGTTCTGCCTAATGAGACTGAAGGAAAGGCTGCTGCAGGGATACTGTGAAAGCTTTTGCTTTCCTAGTAAAGGGAATAGATGTGACAATGCTCCTCTCTGTTGCCTTAAACACAGAAGTATTTAGGAAGGTAAGGGTATTATCATCATCTCCATTTTTACAGATGAGACTGCGCCACAGAAATGTTGCTCGTGGCCGCGCAGCCACGACAGAGTCAGCATCGGCATCCAGAATCTGGCTTCAGCACACCGAGAATGACGAAACAGGAAAGGAGCCCAAAGCCCTGAGGGCGCCACTGAGCTCAGACTTCAGCAGCTGTCTACCTCCGGGTTTCTCCTGAGACTCCTGACTCAGGAGGCTATTTTTAGATGTGTGTTCTGTTACTTGCAGCACAGCAGCCCCAAACGCCTCTCACCCTATTTCGACCATCTTCTTTGATGAGTCTCTCAGAAGTGGGTTTGAATCAAAGACTGATATTTTTTAGGCTCTTGGCACATACTACAAATTACTTTCCCTAATTACACTGATGTAGCACTTCCGCTCCCATTGGGTATTGCTGGGCAGAGGGCAAAGGGTTGCGTCTAGCACCCCGTCAGTACATGAGTGGGAGAGGGTGGTTAGGAGGGTGAGACCGCAACTCCTCTGCACATTTGCACATCAATCTCTGTCCTGGTTTAAGTGCACTCCTCTCTGATTAAAAAAAAAATAATTCACAAGAGTGAGTCTCAAGGCACCTTTATTCTTCAGCCTCAAATAAAGTTGTTTCTTATACAATGACATAAGTAAAAAATATGTACACTGTAAAAGATTCAAAAAGTAGAAAGAAAAAAAACCGCTCACATGATTCCAACACCTAAGAAAACCATGTTTAATATCTGGCATATTTCTGGGACTTTTATTGTTCCCTGTTCTCCCATGTGTAAATTAAATTATACTATAAATACTGTTTTGTTCACTTACAAGCACTGTCTATTATAAACATTTTAATGGCTACATAATATTCCACCAGATGGATAAACCATAAACCACTTCCATATTGAGATCAAATTGACAAAACAATGAAAGCAGAATTTGCAGAAGGAAATAAAATTACCACATAAGGTGTGCCCTATACAAATATATGGTATTTAAATAGCACAGGGTTAACTGTGCTATTTTTTTTTTCATTTTAAACAAGTACAGACCAAAAACTGTACTGAAAGTTATTTCCTTTTAAAAGAGAAAAGGATCCATGTCAGTAACTTACCTTTCTATTCATATTCAATATTTTAAAAAAATATGTAAACAAGTTAATTTTTAGTTTTATTTATATACAATGGAAGGATGTCACTTAGCAGAACAGTTTTTAAAAAAATGCTTACATAAAATAGTTTGAAAAACAAAATATTCCAACTGATTAAACTGTATTGATTAATAGTTGCCATACAACATTCTACAGATCATACATTTTCAAAGAATTACAATATGAATGAAAACAAAATTTGTATTAACCATAACCTTTAAAAAGTTGTACCAGTTTTTAAACCATAACTTTTTCTTTTATGATTCAGGAATGTATTTCCTATGCTGCCCTGTTCATCCTAAGCATCAGTCTGTTAGCGAACAGGCATTCCACCATCCTGCCAGCTGAACTCTCCCTTCTTCAGGATGCCCACGTCCTAGACTCTGTGCCTTTCTGATAGCTCTCTACAAGTGGCTTTGTATTAGACAGTCATTTTGTAAGTCTATTCCTTTCACTGGAGTCAACGTTTCTAAATGGCACAAACATTGTGTTTGCAACCCACACAGCATCTAGCAGGGCGCTTTGCATCTAGTAAGCATTCAATACACATTTTTGTATTTCAAATTAGGTCGCCCACAATGGATGTGGAGTAAAAAAAATATTTGTAGCAACTGCAATTGTCATTTCAAGTAAATTAAGCAAAAGATAAAATAAAAACTTAATTGATATCTAACCTTTGGTGAGAAATTTACTTGATGCTTACTTTGAGGCAAATACTATGGTAGGTTCCTATAAATACTAGTTCTCAAAACTTTCAAAAACAATCAATGAGGTAGGTCATGTTTCAAAGCATTGGAGATATGGTAGGTAACACTCTGCCTTTTGTGCTTATTTTCAAATGGAACATGCTAAAATCACATACATAATACGTCAGCATTCCAGATTATACATCACTTAATTTATATTATGAACTTGGACAATGAGAGTTCATCCCAGAAATGGAACCATTCTCAGTGCTGACAGAAATTTGAGACTGAAAAGCTGAAGCTGAGACTCTGGTGACTTCCACAAGGTAAGTCACCCTGAAAGGTCACTCCCTCTGCCTTTGCTGGCAGCATCCGACCTTGTGAGAATGTGATCTTCAAATTTATAGTAAACAGAAAATATTCCCAAGAGATTTATAAAATAGTAAAAGGGACCATACAGAAATAAGGTACCATGGGATTAAAGAAATAAAACACAGTTAAGACTGCACCTTTGTAAGCCAGATACTTTTCTCTCTTGCTTTATACGCGTATAAAGTTCAGTGAAGAGCAGGGTGAAGCCACAGTAGAACGCAAATTAGAACACAGACTGGACTTTGTCTCTTGGCATCTAAGTGTGGTGGGAAAGTCTAGTGAAGGATGAGATTTCAGGCACCATCACAATTCATGCAGCAAAGCTGTGGACCTCACTGCTATGCCATTTTGATTTTATTTACCCTACTCTGAAGCTAGACACATGAGACACTCAGTTCAAAAGTGCAAAAAAAAAAAAAAGAGGGAAGTTTCCAGTCTGGATCATTCAAATTTGCATCAGACACATTCTGTGAAACACTGCAGTTGCTGAGGTTAACTCTGACAGCTCTCTGCACTAGGCCAGTGTAATTTAATCATTAAACCTCAAGGTCTTCAAAACTAATCCCCAGTCACACAGTTTCATTCAGATAAATCTAAAGTTGAACTTACAAAGTGAGTAACAGATACTAGAAAGGGAAAAAAATAGTTTTAGAAGCTGCTTTCTAATTCAGAGTAGGCAGAAAACTGCTTTTTACTTTAATCTAAACTTTCCAAATGCAACAACCTGCAAACAGAGATTGACCACGCTTTCATGTCCCCTAAGTCCACTCAAGCACGCCTGTGGCGGGGATACCGGCATGGCTGCTCAACACACACGAGTACTATTCAATATTAGAAACCTTTTTATGAACACAAGACTGAAAATATTACAGGATGAAAAAAGAAGGAAACCAATTTCATTTCTTTTTCCTCTATGGCAGAGCGAGTAGTCCAAATGATAACAGCACTCCAAGATTACTATTTATACTTAAGGCAATATAAAAAGCGAGGTTTTTACCTGGCATTAAAAAAAAATATTAAATTTTTGGATGGACTAAAAAAGCTAAATTGTCTACCCAAAATCTGTACAGCAGGGACCTGTTTTCAGCAGGTAAGCCTATTTACAAGTAAGAACCTCTTACTCTTGTAACATTGTCCTGTTTTATTTTTAGAGAATATGTAACTCCAGTCCCTTGCAGGGTTAGTCTATAAGGCCTTTGTGACCCCACAGAAATATAGACCTATCTCTACTAGAGAACTATTTACATTGCACTGAAAATACACATATACACCTGCCCCCTACATCCTCCAAATGGGCTGTAAATGCCTTGAATGAGGGATTATGGTCATTTTTACATCTATGGTGATAATTTATAGGCACTTAATAATTTATTCTTCGCATCAATGTTAAATGAAAATGCTTTTACAACATTACTGCTATTTACATTTCAAACATTACCGCCATTATCCATCTCCAAAATAAAACACCAAACTGCTACCAAATTTATTTTCATCTTCACCATATAGCGTTTCTGGACTTTTTAATGTAAACATTCTTGATTTATTAATTCTCAGAGTAATGACACAAATTTAGCATTTTCCTTGGAATGGAAACTTGCTTGTCCAGGTTACTTCATTCTTTTTTTCTTTTTCAAAAGTGCATCTCGTAGTGCCAGCTGGAAAAAAAAAAAAAAAAAGAAACATCTAAACATGACACCTCATGAGTACCCAATTATACTAATATGGTTATATGAAAGTGTACACCAAAACTGAATCACTTAAGTCAATAAACCATCCTCAGAAACTACAAATAGTGAAATATTCCACAAAAGATCAGGTCTGTAACCAGGCCGGTGCCTCCTTATTGCTAGGAAACTGGCAAAGCTGTTGAATGCTGTTCCCACCTCATGTGACAAAAGCTCAGAACAGAAGCAGCTACAGAATACAGAGATGGAGCATTACCTGTCTCCAGGAACAACACACAGCACTTCCCTGATCTGCAGAGCTCTTATATTCTAGAGTTGTGGATGCAATAGATTATCTGAATTAAAGCCAACAGTAAAAGAGATTTTTTTTTTCACAATCACCTTTTCCAAGAGCACATACATTTCACTAAATATGCCATATAAAGACCATGTACATAATTCTGTAATATATAGCTTAGAACACAGAAAAACATTCCCTTATTTGCAGATTTTCAAATGGGTTTATTTAATGCAGTAAATAAAATTTTATAGTAACTAATTACTAACAATCTTTATAATGATTCAAATATGAAGAAATTAACTCAAGACTCAAAACTCTGCAAATTGTCTTTTAAGACAAAAGTATTTAGTTACTATGGGCTAATTTTTAAGTTGTTTAATTATTTTGTGTTGGATGCATGAACCCTGAGAGGGAAGGTACCTACTAAGAAGGGCTCCTTGTGTCTAACTGAGCTCAAATTAATCAACAACAAAAACAGAGCCTAGCAGCCGTTTCTGCACAGGGGTCTCTCACACAAATTGCGCTTCGGGAAGAGGCCTGCAGTGAACTGCTTGCCTCTGCTGAGACCGCCCGCCTGCCCTGCGTTTCTGCCATCTGAGCGAGTCTTTATGAAGGAGATCCTGGAATCCTATTTCAACCAAAAGGACTGAGGCTTTCCCCACTCAACTGGAACTGTGCAACTCTGACCAACCAGAACAGCTCTATTCTAACCAAGGCCTGTTGAACCAAACCTCCAGGCCTTGGAGGCCTCATTCGCATAAGAACAGACCAATCAGGGACAAGGTGAGGGAGAGGGAAATTTCGGTCCAGATAAGCCAGCTCCCCTCTGGCTCTGGGACTGCTCTTTCCCTTTCCACTGAAGACTGGAGTTTGGAGACTGAGTCTCCCTGGCTGAACTGAATCACTGAAGGTATTTCGCTAGAGCAGACCAGCTGTAGCTGAGTAGACCGCTCAGGATCATAGCAGAGCTGTTGAGCTAGACAGGGGCCTGGCCCTAGGGACACCCAGCCCCAGAGCTGCATCACAATTGAGCTGTTTTGCACTGAATAAAGTTTCCTTCTTCACTGCATCCCAAACTGGAGATTCCTGCAGGTGTTGGCTTGGCACCAACAACCATCAGCTGACAGATACAAGTAAGATGAAATGAAAGTAGTAATTATAACCACAAAAGCTGGGTTCTTAAACTTAAAAATGAAGAGTGTTAAGATCTGAAGAAAAAGACTGCAGGACCAATGTTCGAAGTGAACCTATGAAAGCCCTTACAAGGTTTTACATTTCCCAGAAGAAAGTAAACAGAATATGAAGTAAAACATTATTAAGAATAAACTCAAAGTTAAAAAAAGATAACCAAAGTCAATGTACACATCTTAAGTATGTAATGAACACTATCCCATTAATTCCCAAGCACCCACTCCTTGATTCCTAGAAACTCTTAAAGATCTCCAGCTTTTGAATTTTTTAAAAAAGTTTTAATTTATTTTTAGAGAGGGGGAAGGGAGAAAGAGAGGGAGAGAAACATTGATGTACGAGAGATCATGTCAGTTGGCTGCCTATCACATGTCCCCAAGTACGGGGCTTGGCCCGCAGCCTAGGCATGTGCCCTGACTGGGAATTGAACCAGCAACCCTTTGGTTCGCAGGCTGGTGCTCAGTCCACTGAGCCACACCAGCCAGGGCTAGCTTTTGAATTTTAACAAGATGAAGGTGTTCGTTTTTTTTTGCGGGGGGGGGGGTCCAGGGGCCAGAGTTCAAGGTTGCCATGTAAATGTTCAAAGTTTTAATATTTTATGATTTTAGGTTATTGACTCTTTGCCTTTGGCTCATATCTGGGTCTTGGTGTTTCTTTGTATATAGACTTTCTAGCACACTTAAGGTAGAAAAAATTAACAAGCTCATTTTAACCTAATTTGCATGGCTAAGGAGGTAGTTCTTAGACTCATTTATGTGTGTCTGTCCTTCTCATCTGTAAAATTGGTTTAGTCACAGTACCTGGCTGGGGTGGGTGGGTAGAGGAATTGAGCAAAATAGGGGGAAAAAAAAAAAAAAAAAGAGGGAGAGAGAAAAAAAACTCATGGACACAGACAACAATGTGGTGACTGCTGGTGGGGAGGGGTTGGGAGGAGCTGGAAAAGGGTATAGGGGAATAAATGGTGATGGACGGGGACTTCGCTTGGGGTAGTAAACACAGAGTAGAGATAATATGTTGTAGAATCGTGCACCTGACACCTGTATAAATTTGCTAACTAGTGTCACCCAATAAATTCATTAAAAAAAGAAGCAAAAACTCACAGTACCTACTCACTGATGTATGCTGATTAAGTTAACATGCTGACAAGGAACAAAGCCAGGCATCTCCATCATGCCAAAAAGGGCATGCTAAGAAACCAAGGAAGTAGGGAATGCAGGAACACCCTTGGCTAAAATGTAGCAAGGTCGCAAGAGCCTCATAAAGAAGCAAGGCCTAACAACTATTACTATTCCCTCAACCATAAACTCTTACAAAGGGCTGATGAAGGATAAAATAATGGAATTAATAAACTCAACTATGAATTTAAATTGAATTGAGAAATTTTCAATCTTAAATGGCACCTTTCATTTTAACTCAATTTCAACAACTTCTATCCAAATGCTGTCACTTTGTTTATATAATATTGTTAAACAGTTTACAACTAGAAATATTAAATAGACAGCAGACTTTAAAATGGCACCTTAAGTCAGTTAATACTGACTTGGTTCCCACACAGACAGAGCACTGCCCGGAGAGCTGGTTATGACAGTCGGGACCGGAAGCCTTGTCCTGGGCCAGCACTCCGGAAGACTGGTGCAGAATGTGGGACTAGTTTACCCATGACCAGGTTCCCTGGAGATTCTTCAGAATACAGTTAGAAACACTCTGGTACAACCCCGTAACAAAAGACTTTAAAATATAAATTTGTTTTAATATAGTGAATTACTGAAATAAGCCAGCCCAAGACTAACCATGAAAGACGGAAAATGGATGAAATTAAATCCCAAAAACCTGTAAACATAAAGGCTTTGCAAAAGGGCATATACTAACAACAGAACTATTTAGTTTGCACTGCTTTACTGTTTCTGACATAGTCCACACATTAATTGTTGCTTTTAAGAAATTTATCAGACTTATAAGCACTCAAAAATTCCTATTCAGTTAATTTTGATATTTCACATAAATATCAGAGAATTTTAACAACAAATGATCTGTACCTCTTTACTTATGAAGAAAAATAGACTCCCCTTTGGTCACATGGATGAATCTCAAGCAAGTCAAGTCTAGGATTTACATGCACTACCTTCACCTCTCCAAAAACACTCCCCATTAATCCTAAGACACACATGATGCAAGGTCTTCAGGAGGCCTAAGTCCACCCCAAATGTAAAGGTATCTGAGAATGACAATACTATTCTAGCCAGTCAAGCTTGAAGTTGAACTCACCTGCTTTTCTCGGAAGGAACGCTTATTTTTTGAGCGGACATTATGGCTATACCGCATCATCATAAAGTTTTTATTTTTTTTCTTCTCTTTGTTTGTAGAACTGGAAAATGGATTCATTTTGGTTTTCTTCTTCACAAACTCTTTTCGGTCTGTCCTTCCAGCCTACCAGCACACACACATAAAAAACACTTCAGGAACTCTCTAATCAATATACACATCTCCTCTGTGCCGGGGGCTCGACCTGATGCCAAGGACACAGAGATGAGCGAACACAGTCTTGCTGTCCAGGGACTCGATCCAGGGGAAATGGACCATGATGTACTGGGATGGGGCAAGGGGAGCTCAGTGGAAGAAAAGATCATATTCAGCCTGGTGGGGTCTGAGGGACTTCCTAGGAGGGGAAACCTGTGAGCTGTTTCTTGCAGATTGAAGGCATTCATGGTGGGGAGAAGGAGAGGAAGGGGTGGAGCATTTCAGAAAGTAGTGGTAATAGTATATGCAAAGGTATGGAAGAGAAGGAACATCTTTTAAAAAGATTTTTATTTATTTATTTTTAAAGAGAAGGGAAGGGAGGGAGAAAAGAGAGGAAGAGAAACATCAGTTGGTTGCCTCTCACATGCCCCCAGCAGGCAACCTGGCCGGCAACCCAGGCACGTGCCCTGACCAGGAATCAAGCAGGTGACCTTTCAGTATGTGGGATGACGCCCAACCTACTGAGCGACACCAGTCAGGGGAAAGAACATGGGTTTTTAAACAGGTTATGTGGAGCCAGTACGGCCTGATGCCTAAAAAGAGGAAAGGCACAGAGATGAAGATGGAAAGGCAGGCAGTGTGCAACTGCCAGGGGCGGGACCCCACTGTCTGGCCTTTCATTAACGACTGTAAACATCCCCCTGCTTTCTAACAGCTTCTATAAATGCACTGAGACTCCCTAATACCACACAGCTAATAGCACTTTCTGTGCTTTACAACATGTTTGGATGGTCGCTTTCTAGTTGTTAAACTCATCTAACTGAACAACTCATACTTGTGCATTTTATTCTATGTTCAGCATATCTTTATTTAGAACATTAAAATAAAATACCACCTAATATTCTGTGCCTATACTAGTTCTGAGTCACATTTCATTTCCTTGTTTTTTGTTTAAAGAACTAGGGAACACTATGCCTCACTCACCATCGCAGTTGCTAGTCTTGTCTCCTTGTCAGACTTTGGCTTTTTATGAAGGTGTTCAATGTCCCGAAGAGAAAGTAACTCGCCCCTGGGATGAAGGAAAAAATAAAACATGAAACAAAGGTAGAATTCCTTTCCCTGACACCTTCATTACCACGTGAGCTGACTGAAGACCCGGGATATGTGCTGTTGTACCTGGGCTCTTCATCACTGTCTATTTCGATGTATTTCCTCTTTTGGGCTTTCCCAGGGGCAGAGTCGAGTTCTTTCCTCATTTGGGCCAGGCGGATTTTTTGGAAGTCTTCCTGTGTTAAAACTCGGCTGGTGCTGACAGCGGCAGCTTTGGCTTTCCGCTCCTCCGTGGGCATGCTGTTCAGCTTCTTGGACTTGAGAGCACACAGCAAACGATTACATGGCTGCTAACTCAAGCAAGGGCTTAGTTCCCCAACAAGGCCCAGCGTAAATTAAGTCTTAACAAACATCAGAGTGATGCACTTATAGAAGGAAATTTTGAAACTCACAATTTCTTGCTGCTCTTCATCGGAAGAGTGGTGCACGTCAACCCACTCACCATCGTCATCTGCCTCCTCACTGAGACTGGCACTCTCCCACCCGTCTGTGTGGGAAAGAGCACACTGTTAGGCTACCACAGGAGTACTCCTGGCAAATGGAGAGGTATCAAGTGAAAGGAGAGTAAGGTTATTAACCTCATAAACTTACTTGGCTCTACAAACCAAAAACTGAACATTTACTGTTAAATACGCCACATCAATTTACTTAATTTAAGAAATAGGGAGTAAGGACTGCACTGACCAAATATCTACCCTGAGCCAAAACCTTACAACTCCACAGAAGAGGAACAGCTTCTTGAGTTAAGTAACCGGTGCTAAGACAGTTATAAAATGCAGCCTACACTGAACTCATGAAAATCATGTGACTCTAGAGGCCAAGTTCTTCCCACCAAACCATGTACATCAAAACTGCACTTGTACAGTTATTTTGGCTACCTAGAAAGCACCCACTAGTTAGAAACAATAGAACTAGTTTTAGAAACTAGTTAGAAACAGTCATTCAGAAACTGAGGTAGGATACTTTGGATGTCTTGTAGATACCACAATGAAGGGGTATTAGAGTTATTAATGGAGCCACCACAGGAAGTTTTCAAAATCACAGATACTTGCAATATCAGTGGTTTCCCATGTTCCATAACAGTGTCCCAGTCCTTTGGTATGAGATATACAACCACTCATGATAAGGCTCCAACTCAGTCTCCAGTCAGCTATTTGGCTCTGTTCTACCTTGTATTCTATACTACATTAGTTTCCTAAATCCTTCAGGACTCTGCTCACAGTTGCCCTGGGAAGTCTCCATTGTTCTACCATTTCCTCACTTACAATTCAAAATACAGTTCATGAGTCAGCATCTCGCTGGGGCCGTTTTTGAACCTTTGCAGTGGACCTGACCTCTCTCCTGTCCTTATGCCCCACTCCAGCCATAAATCCTATTAACACTTAATTCTCAGCTGTTTATGAAAGGCCCTCCAGGCAGGAACCGATCATTCTTCTTTGTGCTGACAGTGGCCGGCCCACAGCTAATGCTTAAGAAAGCTTTGATGAAATCATGAATGAATGAACAGGAAGAAAACAAGCCCTGAGCAACCAATGTAATAAAGACTAACCCTAGAAATCAGAATGGAGTTCCTCAAGCACTCTTCAACAAATTCAACAAGAATTTTCTTTCAAGAAGAGAACGTTGAAGGATTGCTAAGGACTAATCCTCACCATTTTTTTTTCCAGGCAACAAACAAAACACTGTTATCTTTCCCAACTGACCAGCATACCCTTGATAAGGGGCAGCCACCATGAAGGGCAGGAAGAGACACCTCCTACACTAGAATGTAAGTTCCGTGAGGGCAGGAACCATGCCCCTTTTATCCCCTAGGCTTGCAACAGTGCCTGGCATGTATTCACTGCTCAATAAACATCTGCTGAATGAATGTTCCAACAGAATAAAGATTTCAAGGTCAGTACAGATACTGGAGAGATTATATCCTGAATAATAGTGAAATAAAGATGAACCTTCATCGTTTTCAGCATTCTCTTCTTCCTTTTCAACTTCCAGAATTTCTGCTCCCGGGATATAATCTTTAGCATCTAATTCTCCATATTCTTGTATTCTTGCTTCTGTGGAGGCCTCTGTAGGCTTACCCTAAAGGAAAGGAATTGTTTTTATTATGGTCCTGAGATTGTAAAACACTACTCATGAAAAGGATTCTCTAGGATTATGAATTTAGAAGAGAGAATCACAAAAAAATGAAGTAATTTAATGACAAGAAGCAGTCTACTTATGCTTTGGGTCCAAGTAAATCCCCCAGCCAGAACTCTGTTTACTATTTTCCTGCTTTCTTCTGATCAAGCTCAGGAAACGAAGTTATTGGAGAAAAACTGTTCCCATTCTTAAGTCTTAAGTCTTAAGTCTTGAGATCACCATCTCTCTTTCTGTAACATACGCATCTCTCTTCCTTCCCAACTCCCAAGAGGTGGTATCTGGCTGGAGACAGCCCTTTCAATACTGGCATCAGCTACTGACTGATCTTTGAGACTCCAATCTGTTAATGATGTCAAAAGCTTTCAAGATAAAATAGCCTGACTGGCCTATAAGACTCAGTCATCATCAAACAGTACATGTCAACTACAGAATGTTCAAGGCAATGGTACTCAATTAACTGTATCCTGAGCTTAAATAAATCTACGTATATGACCAATACACATAACATAAGCATCACAAATACTAAAATTCAGGCTGTAGGATGTTACTCTCACTTTCTGAGACTATAATCTTTAGATCAACATATGCATGCTTCACCTACCCGGAATTTCTTCTGTAACATCTGAGGATTCAGTGTTCGGAAGAGCTGAATCAAAGTTCTAGCAGACATCGTTACATCTGTAAAGTAATACCTTTAATTTAGAAACTCCAGAGCAGAGTCTCCTGAGATAAATGAATCACTCTATATTCTTTGGTCTACAGAAACTAACATGCAACTTACTCTTATCTTTGTGAGTTTTATACTGAGCCAGGTCTTGGAGAAGTTCTTCAGTCATAGCTAGAGGACATCGGGCTGTTATCTCTTTTATAGCATTGATTCTAGACAAGGAAAAATGAATTAAAAAACATGAACAGCAATTTTATATGGTCCAACTTCAGAAGGTTTCCTAAGAAAGACTAAAAAGGTACAGAAGCTGGGTTTTATAGAGATTAGGTCTCTAAAACTGCAGCATGGTAAAGAAGCTGGGTTTTATAGAGATTAGGTCTCTAAAACTGCAGCATGGTAAAGAATGTGAGGGTGGGGGCAACCGTGGAGGGCTTTTGTTCCAGTTTACTGCCATTTCCTCCTTGTAAAGTAAATAATGGCAGCACTTATTCACCAACTCTAAGGGGATATGGGGCTAGATCAAATAAGAAAAGCTAAAGGTCTTTAGGACTGTTACCCCAGCAAGAATCCCATAAAAAGCAGCTAACATATTGCTTAGTTACCAGGACAGATTAGATAACTGTTAAACCAGTACTCACACTCATTAAGCGTTTCTGAATGAATCAAAAGGGCTACTGAACTGTCTAGGAATTAAAGAGTGATTCATACATGTTCTTTGACTAATCCCTTCCCCTTCTTTCCACTATTCCCCTCCTCCCTGCCCGTCTCTTGTGCTGGGCCAACTCTAATAGAATAAAAAAGAATAACTTTTTAAAAAATGATTTATTTATTTTTAGAGAGATGGGAAGGAAGGGAGAAAGAGAGGGAGAGAAACATCAATGCGTGAGAGATACACTGACAGGTTGCTTCACACACACCCCCAACCAGGGACCTGGCCCGCAACCCAGGCATGTGCCCTGACTGGGAATTGAACCAGCAACCCTTTGGTTCACAGCCTGGCACTCAATCCACTGAGCCACACCAGCCAGGGCAAGAATAATAATTTTTAAAAAAGACTTAATAAAGAAAGAAAAAAAATGTATTAGTAGTGATTCAATAACATATCATTTGTCCCAGGAGAAGATACGAATTCAGAATAGAGACAGGAGAAAAACACTTAGATTGCCAAACAATCACTCATTTGAAAAAGTAAAGCTAGTGAAAAACAAAATGTTGAATAAAAAGACAAATATCTTTTCTCCGACTCCCTCCTCAAAAAAAAATAATTTTTTTTTAAAGGTTTTGTTCATTTTTAGACACAGGGTAAGGGAGGGAGAAAGAGGAGAGAAATATTGACATGTGGGAGAAACACTGATGGGTTGCCTCTCGCACACACCCCAACTGGGGGACCCAGCCTGCAACCCAGGCATGTGCCCTGAATGGGAATCAAACCAGCAACCTTTCAGTCTGTTGTATGGTGCTCAACCAACTGAGCCATGCCAGACAGGGCTCCCTCCTCAAATTCTGACTAATAAAAATGTGAAGCTTCCTGAGAAAACTGAAGTGTGTTTTAAACTGCTTTCCTAGAGGCCACACTGACAGCTGAAATCTTGGACATATAAAGCAAACCTAGCACTTTAAAAACATACCCGGTGTCTCTAGCCACATTCTACATACCCTACTGTCATGACTTCCCCAGAGTTCTTGTTGGTGACAAAGTTGTTGGCCACGGTCATGAGCAATGAATGAATGATCTGAATTGGGAATAAAAGAAGAGTGATGGTAAAATATCTGTACCTACTCAAATATTTGAGGATACAGAACAATATATTATTCAGAGAAGGAAAACAGCATTTCACCTTGTTTGGGAATTGGAAAGACTTAACACTGAGGAAGACGGATAAAAATACTCTACTTTGGGTTTTAGTTTTCTTGGCTAACTTCAGATGAAATTTTGCTCTCCTTTAATGTTAGTTTTCAGTATAGATTAAAGAAATTGCTTTGATCCTGGTCAATCCAATCTAAGTACTATTTTAATCAAAAAAAGGAATTAATCCAGCTTTGAAAAATAATCACTATAAATTTACTGATATTTTTGACCTCCTATCATAAAATTTGGAAATTAATATCAGAATTCACAACAATCTGTTCAAAACACAATTTACCTTCTACAGTATTTTTTTTCAACTTCTATAAACTGTGCATATCTCCTTAAGAGTCATTACTTCTTCTACTCACTTAAAAATAAGAGGGGTTGGGGGAAGACAGTAATCCCTGTGGGAAAAGCCACCATGATACACTTCATAGCAATACTGCTATGCATCATCCTCTACATCCAGACAGAAGTAAGGCTTAGAAGTTCTCACCTCTGGGGGTACTAAGTGATGAGACGCCTGTGCAGCAAACAGAAGGATCTTTGTTACTTCTAAAAATGTAAAAGGTCAGAAAGGTCATAGTCAGTTTATTGCTCTGCTCTCCGGACTATAGCAAACATGGCATGGACATTCTGGCCTTAATGCTAGTGCTGCTTACTCCACAAGGAACACTCAACCCTCTGATGCCTGCGTGGCTCCCTGGCTTCCTTCAAGTCCCTCCTAAATTACTGCCTTATGAAAAGTCTTTCTTAAGAACATAATCTAAATAGAACCTGCCCCAGCACTTCCTATTGCCTGTATTCTGCTTCCGCTTTCCTCAAAACACTTATCTTCACCTGGATATATACACAGCACTCTCTGGATCTCCCTCTAGAATGTAAGCTATAGGAAGGTAGGGATGTTCACTGGGAGATTCTTAGTGTCTAATGCAATGCCTAGCCTAGAAATCACTAAATAACTGAATAAATATAAACATACATACATACACACACAGTCCCTACAAAGGAGCAGTATATATAAGAACATGGCCTTTGGCAAAAGAAAGTGAGGTGAATCCTAATTTGCCATTTATTTGCTGAGCGACCTTGGCCTTTTCCCCCCCATACTTCGCAAGACTGGAAAGAGAATTAGATGAAATTATGTATGTAAAGCACTTAGCACAGTGCTTGGCTCACATAAGATAGTCAAGAAATGTTCAGTTCCTTTCTACCTTGGTTCAAGTTCAAAGGCAAAAGCAAATATCTCATTTTTTCCTGCTTCCACATTGTTTTTAATTGAGACTACAAAAGAAGACAATAGAACAGTAGGATAAAAATCCTAATATCTATTACAAAACTACAGCAAAGTTCAAGCTTCTTTTTAAGAATTTTCCACATGATTATTTATGGTATTATAGCAGTCCTGTCTTATCTGCAGGAGATACATTTCAAGAGCCCCTAGTGGATGTCTTAAACCGCATACAGTATCTGACCCTTGAAAAACATGGTTTTGAACTTTATGGGTACACTTACATGTGGATTTTTTTCAATAAATACAGTAAATGTATTTTCCTTATGATTTTTTTTTCTTTTTTCAGTTTTTCTCAGACTCTTTATTGGCATAGGAACTTTGATTTTTCTCTCTTTTTTTATTTTAAGATTTTATTTATTTTTAGAGAGAGGGGAAGGGAGGGAAGAGGGACAGACTTATCATGTGTAGCTCCTCTTTCGTGCCCTTACTGGGGGCCTGGCCCGCAACCCAGGCATGTGCCCTGACTGGGAATCAAACCAGCGACCCTTTGGTTCACAGGCCAGCACTCAATCCACTGAGCCACACCAGCAAAGGCTTTTTTCCGTTTTTCAATGTATTTTTTATCTTATTTGTAAGTCAAAAAGATAAAGACATGCAAGTACAACAAATATAACATTTCTATTTGATGTCTTTAAACCCTTTTCTTCAGGACCTAGGAGAACATATGTGACTTTTCTGTCTTTCCTGCCCTTTCCTTTCCTCCTCGCTCCTTTTTTTAACATTTCCATCTGTGTCCTCAAGTATCACCTGGCCATGTTCCATTGCCATGGGGTTTAAGTTGGCAGCTTCAGGGACATCCTATGTTTAGTAGATATTGTGGATTTTCTTACATGCCAGGTAGAGGGAGACTGGAGATAATGTGAATAAAAAGAGAAGAATCTCTCCACTCTGTAAGGGACCTCGGCCAAAGCCCCACCCACACAGGTGAAGGACAAGGGAAAGCCACCTCCTCCACCTTCCTTATACTTTTCTTTTTAAAAAAAATTTATGTATTTTTAGAGAGGGGAAGGGAGAAAGAGGGAGAGACACATCACTGTGTGAGAGAAACGTCAATAGGTTGCCTCTTGCAGAGCCCACAACTAAGCACGTTCCCTGACTGGGAATCAAACTGGTGACCTTTCAATTTTTTGGATGATGCCCAATCCACTGAGCCACACCAGTCAGAGCTCTTATACTTTTCTTACCAACACTGTCTTTTCTCTAGCCTACTCTATGTAAGAATACAGTATGTAATAGATATAACACATAAAATGCGTTAATTGGCTGTTTATGTTATTGGTAAGGCTTCTGGTTAACAGGGTAATTGTGGAGTCAAAATTATACAGAGGTTTTCAACTGTGTGAAGGGGTTGGTGCCTCTAATCCCAACATTATTCAAAGGTCAACTGTATACATACCTATGATAAAGTTTAACTTATAAATCAGGCACAGTAAAAGATTAACAACAGTAACTAATGATAAAATAGGACAATTACATTATACCACAATAAAGTTATGTGAAGGCAATTTCTTTTCTCTCAAAATATCTTATTGCACTGTGCTCACCTTTTCACTTAAAGGAAGTACTTTACAGCACTTCTCAGCATCACTACTCTTGTGCTATGGACCATCAGTAGTTAAAATAAGGGTTACCTGAACACAAGCATTGTGATACCCTCACAATCAATCTGATAACTGAGAGCTACCAAGTGACTAATAAGCAGGTAGCATATAGAGTGTGGCTGTGCTGGACAAAGAGATAAGTCACATCGCAGACAGGACAGAGCAGGACAACACAAGATGCGACTCAGAATGGTGTGCAATTTCAACTTATGAATCATTTATTTCGGGAATTTTCCATTTAATATTTTTGGACCTTGGGTAACTAAAGCAATGAAAAGCAAAACTGCAGATAGTGGAGGGCTACTGTATTAAAAAAAAGACTTGCTTTGAAAAAGCAATTTATTGGTCCATCCCCTCCCACCCCTAATAATTATTTTTTAAAGTTGATTAGCAGAACAATTAACACATGGTTCTGGAAAGATTTTGGAAAGAAAACATAGGGTTCCTCTCCCCTTCTCTGAAACAGAACACACTTCACCCCTCTTTGTCTTTACTAATTCCAGAACAAAAAATTCTGGATGGTTACTTTAACCCCAAGGCCCCAAAGAACATGGCAAGTGGAAGGCTTACCTCTTTGGTGGGGCTGCAGAAACCTTTGCACGAAGGGATAAAAGTTGAAGAGAAAAAGCTGCAGGGGAAAAAATGCACCAACTTTAATATTTATGTAGCTAAAACAATTTTATCACCAAGTTCAACTAACTGGGAATCACTGTTTACTTTTTTTCTCAACAAGCATTCATACCCCAGGATAATTCAAAGTGCTACATTAACCAAGGAAAAGAAGGCTATGCTGCTATCCTTATTGTGTCAAGGAAGACGAAAGAACTTTATACTGTATGCAAAATAAGCCAGGAAGAAAAAAGGCAACCAAAACTTAACATTCTACTTTTAAAATTGGTATAGCTGCATAAGTAATTTTTTAAGTCTTCAAAGATAAAGAGGATTATAGGAAGGAATTGCATTCACTTTAAGTCTCCAAAGCAAGGGACAAAATAGCACTTCAAATCTGATAGCATCTAGTATACAGTGGTACTCGTCGTTAATTCATTCCAGAACGCAGGACAAGTGCTGAAACTGACAAGTACCAAATGATAAAGCACGTTCTCTTGCAGGGCAGCGTTGTGACTCATACAAGTTCTAGCAAGCGCAGCCAATCCCAAGCAAGAGCTGAGTTCTGAAACATTTTTTCCTCATCAAAATGCAACAAGTACAGGGTTTGATGAGTTCTGAAGCTGACGAGTACTGAGGTATGACTGTGTTCTGATCACACAAACCACCCACAATTCTGGTTCTGTTATTAGATACCAGACCAACCACTTCGGCAGAATTACTCTGAGCTCTACTTCAGAGAAAAAAGCACTGCCACTCGAGTCTACCTATTAAAGGTGACATGGGTCCAATTATTAAAGCAACTGCAATTTCTAACTTCAAGAAGAGAAACTTTGGAGATGGACTGGTCTTTTTGCAAAGTTCATCATGTGAGAATAAATTTTTTTATTTTAGCCACAGAGTAAAACCATGGCCAAAGAAGTAATAAGGAAGGCTTGGGTTCAATATAAGGATGGCCGTTCAACTGCAGCTATAAAAGACTGGTATAATTTCCATCAAACTATGCTTAGCTTGCAACTCACTTTTGCTTTCTTATAAAACTCAAATTCTAGTCAAACATAAAATCGCCTTACAAATATATCAAAAATTGACTTAGTAATCTTGCTTTAGGTCTGTAGACCATGGAAAAAAAGCATTTTATTCACCAAAATGTTGTTTTTTCCTTAGAGAAAGGGAATGAATACTTGCACTCATATGTACTTTCATTTTTAAGTTGATGTCTATACTGTTCTGATTTTCAATAAACAAGCCAAGCCCGTTTTACTTTTTTCATTAAAAATTTTTTTCAAAAAAAGCAACATACTCAATGATTTTCAGAACAGCACTAGTCAAAAGAGCAAAATGATAGAGCACAACCTCAACGGTCATTCCTTTATGGCCTAAGTATTTGACAATCTCTCCCACAATGGCATTTAGTCCAAAAGTATGTGTGAGGTTTCCATATGTATACATCTCACACACAAACACACACACACACTGTACCACCAAAGAGCTCTTGCAATCTAATATAAAATAAATGAGCCCAGAATTCAGCTTTGCACACATGACAATCCCCCACTCCAGTGGTCTGAAAGTCAGGAAAGCTGGGAAGGAATAAACCAACTACAAAATGTAGTAACAGCCAATAAAAATATGTAGGCTTTATGTTGGCTCTGAAAAATGAGTATGTGGAACCAAGTTGAACAGAGAAAGCAGAAAAACAGAACACAAAATAGTCTGTCCATAAACTAAATATATATACAATTTAACATCCGTACTTATTAATAACAAAATGATAAAAACAGGTATTTTCAGAGTAGAAGATTTTATTCTTCCTCTAAATTGGATTTATATGTTGTGGATAGATAAAATTAAGTCACTCCTCTACCTGAGCAGCTTTCTTTTTATCAAGAATAATTCTACTTCTCTCCTGACTGGTGTGGCTCAGTGGTTTGGGCATCATCCCGCAAACTGAAAGGTTACCAGTTAGATCCCTGGTCAGGGTACATGCCCGGGTTGCGGGTGGTCCCCCGTTGGGGGCAAGAAGCAACCAATCAATATTTCTTTCATACACATCACTGTTTCTCTCCCTCTCTCCCCCTCCCCCTCCCTTCCCCTCTGTCTAAAAATAAATAAAATCTTGTTTTTTAAAAATGAATTCTATTTCTAATATCCACCAAGAGAAATATAATGTAATTCAAACCTCGTGAATTCCCACCAATCTAGAAATGAGGTTCATGAGCATCATCTTCACTTCAAACCTCTCCTTAGAGCTCTCTAGCTGCTTTAGTAGTTTTTCTGCAAAATCTAGAAAGAGAGTATCAGAGAAGTACACTGTGGGTCCACAGTCTGTGCAACATTATTTAACATACGTAGAGAAAGGCAGTAGTTACGATAAGCGACTCCTGACATGGCTGAAATCACTGCTGAATCAGGATGATAAGAACAGCAGTATGACAAAAGGTGAAAAGATTGACACACAGATCAATATACCTTCAACAATGCCCAAAGTTAAGTTTTAAGGATGCCCAAGACTTTTAGCATCAACATGATGAGGAACTGTTTAACAGGTGCTCCATTTAACAGTTCTTTTACAAATTCAGCTTTTCAACGTGTGGTCCACAAGCCACCAGCAGCTGGTCCACACAGCAGATTATTAGAAATTAAGAACCTCAGGCTCCACTCCAGACCTACTGAATCAATCTGTACTTTAACAGGGTCCCAAGCTGATTCATATGTACCTTAAAGTTTGAGAAACAATGGCCTAGGGGTGTCCAGCCCTTGGCCCACTGGCCGCATGTGGCCCAGGATGGCCATGAATGTGGCCCAACACAAAACTGTAAATTTACTTAAAAACTTTTTTTTTGCTTATCAGTTTTCATTAGTGTTTGTGCATTTGATGTGTGACCTACAACAACTCTTCTTTTTCCAGTGTGGCCCAGAGATGCCGAAAGGTTGGACACCCTGATGAAGGAAGGGATAGCAAACACTACTGTATATTAGGGTACACAGAGCACTTAAAAGCCCCAATGCCCAGCTGCACCCAGTACCAACTAATCCGTCTCTGAGGATACCAGGACTCAAGCACCAGTTAGTTTATATGTTCTCTAAGTGATTCCAATTTGCATTCCAGTTTGCGAACTAGTATTCTAGAACATGGTTTCCCAAATTTGGTTTCCACAGATCAGATTAAAACAAAACAAAAAAAAAGGACCAACAAAAAATTGTCAGTTTTTCATTTGGTCAAGGACAATGTCCTACCACTACTGTGTATGTTAAAGATAAAAATTTCTTCCACATTTTTCTTATATTGCTGTGGACTGAGAATCGCTGCTTCAGAACATTAATTCTCCAGGCTACAACTGATTATTGACTGACTGTCTATTACGCATCAGGGATCTTGTATTCCCAGGTAGCTATGAAGGTAGGAAACTAAATAGGCAGGGATCAGACCAACAAGGAACCTGGGAAGTCATACTTATAGTACCTTGGGGATCATGGATCAAGTGAATAGCTGAAAAGTTAAACACCTCTGGCTTTTTCTTCTTCTTTTGTTTCTGAAAGAAAGGGAGAGGAAAAATATTTACCTTCTGACTTACGGTAATGAGGCCTTTGGGGTTAAACGTGCTAATGTACTAAAAGTTGTTATCAAGTCCACATGAATTTAAAAATAAAATCTTTGTTCCCAAAACCTTTCTTTTAACTAGAAAAGTATAGATGGTTTTTGTCTTTTAAGATTCACCTATTAGCACCTGTAAGACTTAAACAAATTTGGAAATATAAACATTAAAAACCAAATTAATGATTTTCAGAATAATCATTACAAAATATAAAATGTACTTTTTTCGTGTACTCTTCTGAGAAGACATGCCTACCACTGATACCCTAATACAGGTCATCTCAATCAGAACAAGTGACAAGTAAATTTAATCAAATTAATTTATTCAAGTCACAGATTTGCTAGAGCTAAAAATATTTATCTAAAAATTAGTGCTTAAAAATTCATTAAACATTTATAAGACTTTCAAAAATGTGATTTATTTCAAATTCTTAAAAGCTTCTGTTAAAAACCTTTTCTACATTCTAGTGATTCCTACCCTCACTTCCCTGGTACAAGCCTCACCTTGAGCACTTTCATAGCCTTTTCCAACCTTTTCTTGTGTTTGGAGCTTTTCTTCCCGGTGGCATACTGCACTAGCAGGTCTCTTGCTGTTGGTCCTTCATCCTAAAGAAAAACTACTTTGTAAAACTGTAAATAAACAAAATATGCATAGAAATAAAGGGTAATCCTTTCAACCACTTCATTGTACTTATACTCTGTGCACACAGCCACTAAAAATAAACATAACTTCTAAAATTCAATAAAAATATTTCCTCGTGGACACAAACAAGCACATACGAAGATTTTTCACTGCAGCACCGATTATTATTTTTGTACTTTCCTTTTAATTTTTACTGAAGTATGTTGACAAAATGCAAATGTTTTTTATTTTAAAAAACTGGAAACAAATATCACAGGAAAATGCTTAAACTATAATACATTAATTTCAGAAATCTGTAAAGGTTAAAAGCATAAGAGATTTATATGCACTAATAGACTAAGATCTAAATGCATTGGTACATCTATATATATCAACACAAAGAAAGCAAGCTGCAGAATAATCACATATTTACATATATTTAAAAAATCTACTACACCTATGAGACAATATATATATGTACATATCAAATGCAAGGGGAAACAAAATGGCTCTCTGTGAAGCAGGACCTGGAAAATGGAGGTAAGACAGTCAAGGAAACTTCTATTTACCTGAAATTTTTTACAATAAAAATGTAGTAAGATAATAACAAAATAAATTACAAGATATTATTACATATTCCAGTATTCTTGTTATCAAAATGCATGGGAAGAAAAATTGTTTTTATCCTTTTAAATGTTAATTAAAAATATTTATAATAAAGGAAATTTAATAACATTTTATATCTTGATTTTCCCTTTAAAGATGCCATGATATTATTCCTCTCCGTTACCCCTATGAATTTCTATGATGTCGACACTTACCTCAAAAATATGTTAGCAGCAATTCTCATTCGAAGTTTATATAGTGAGATATAGGTATTATTTTAGAACTCAGAACAAGGCTGAGTGAATCTAAGTTTTATTAGTGACTTAACCAATCTTACTGAATGTAAGTGACAGATTCTAAACAATAAAATCTTGGCACTGCAGAACTCAATAAAGGATAAAGGTAACATGTAAGTTTCTAACTTAAACAGTCACAGATTTTACAATGAGAGCAACAATGAAATCTGATTAAATGTAAAATTCAGAAGCATCTGTGGTTAAACTAACCTCAGATTCCGAGTCACTCTCCTGTTTCTCCTCATCATCTTTCCCAAGGAAGAATGTCAAAGCAGCAACTAAGATCTAAAGGCCAATCAGAACAAAGTTAATTACTCATTCCACCTTGCAGTGAAGAATAAAATACTTCTGTCTGCACTTTATACATGAATACACACTAGAATCTGAAGAAAAAAAAATCAAAAACTGATGGGATTTGGGCTCATTTTTGTTGATTAGAACATAATGATTTTATAACATTACTTGTCCTAAAAAATATATAAGTAAAAACATCTTTAGATAAAAACTTCTAGGCTCTACAGTTATTCTTCCTACAAGCTGTCAAGAATTTCCACATCCTCTAAACACAAAAAAGTGATATTACAGCCCTTTTAATAGAAAGTAAACATATCCTTGAACTTCTTTCAGCTGTGTCTGAGCCCAATAAAATAATCAAGAATTACAGGACAAATATAAATGCTGAAGCTACTGTTTGACACACAGAATTTAAAAAACCCGTGATAATTTGGTTTGACTCCTCTAAAGCACATACTGATGAACCAGGGAAGTGGCCTAAAAAACAGAGAGCACTGGTAACATTAACTGCTTATTTGCACACCCCCGTTCCTCACCTACAGCCTCCTTCAGCCTTTATCTGGAGAGCAGACCACGGGCAGGCAGTGCCTTCCCGCAGCCCTACAGGCACTCACCTTGGTGACCTTAGAGAAGCACGCAGTTGTGATCACATTGACAGTTTTGGCATCGTTCCTGGGGAAGACAAATGAGTGTTTTAATGACATAGGAACCTACTGAAGAGAAGTGAAACAAAAAGCACAGAATAAAAAACTACTAAGATGGCAATATTCTAACAGTAAAAATTCATCCTAAAGATAGAAGGAATTATCATAAACTATTAAAAATGATTGTCTCTGGTGGTAGGACCATCAATACTATTTTTAAAAAATGTTTCCAGCTTCTCCAAATTTTCTGTTGCAATGAATACGACTACTTTTGTAATTTAAAAAAAATTAGAAAAGCAAAAGATATGAGATGGAGACACTGTACCAACAAACCAAAGTTCATAAAACATGATATTTTACAAAAGTAGGATAAACTGACTTGAAAATCTTCAGAGTGACAAAGTAGAAAGAGAACAGATTTCATAGTCAAGCAGGTCTGGGTTTGAATTTCAGCTCTGCCCTCATTATCTCAACTTAAACTCTCTGAACTTCAGTTTCATCACCTATCAAATGAGAAGAATTCCAGATAAGCTGCATTACTTTGTCCTGAAGGGTGAACAAGGTAATATAAAGTGTATGTGCTCTGCAAATGGTGGCCCATGTTATTGTTAGTTATTTGGATTGTCTCTATTTTTACTTCGGACTTAATCTATGACAGAAGTATATTAAACAGCTCAAGATCAAGAAGAATATTTGTGTATATGCTCTGTAGTAATTCCAAATGAACAAAGGATTCTATTTCTCAAGAGACAAATATATATATATATATTACCAGATGTTTCTTCGGTAAAGTTCAATCATCACATCCAAGGACATCTTGGCCGCAGTTGCATTGCTGTCTCTTAACATGGTGTACATGAAATTTTGCAACACCTAAAGGAAAGGAGAAAGAAGCCTTAATACACTCACTGTTGGTGCCATGCAGCAAACATGGAAAAGAAAAGGGTACTTACTACATTCACTTTATTGTTCTTGTGTTTTGCATTTATATTTTTGATATCAGTCACGATATGTGTGTATAAAGTCTAAGAAAAAGAAATAAAAACATATACATATTAACCAACATTTCAAACTTTGCTTAATTTGGAGAAAAGTACAAAATGTCCAGGAGGATTTAATATTATCTACTTTTCATTTTATCACAAAAGAGACCAAAAGCAAAACAAAAAGCAGCAGCTAAAATGCAAGAGGAAAACCGCCCACAAAAGGTTAAACATGGAGTTACCATGTAACTCAATGATTCTACGCTTAGTTATATGAAATCTGTCTGGAAAAAGTCCAGCCATTGTTAATATAACGAGAATGGTTTCTGTGACATCCATGTAACCTGGCAGCCATAGTGTACTAGAATGTGCATGCATGAAAAATGACGCGTTCACTGTACTGGTCAGTGGGGGCGGTAGATGCTGCTCAGTGAGCATGTGCACTGTGTGGCCATCTCATTCGAAATGACTGAGTAGAGCAATGAATATGCAACAAATTTTGTGTTAAGCTTGAATATTCCTCCATGAAAACGAATAAGATGATCCAGAAGACTACAGCTATGGGCAAATGGTGATTGGTGGCTTCATCACAACAACATGCCCGCTCACATATCACATCTCGTGCAGTTTTTTGGCAAAACATCAAATCACCCAGGTGACTCTGCCCCACTACAGCCCAGATTGTCACCCTGCAACTTCTGGCTTTTCCCCAAACTAAGATCACCTTTGAAAGGGAAGAGATTTCAGACTGTCAATGAGATTCAGGAAAATATGACAAGGCAGCTGACGGCAACTGGAAGAACTGTGTGAGGCGCCAAGGTGCCTACTTTGAAGGGGACTGAGGTGTCATTGTCCTACACGCAATGTTTCTTGTATCTTGTGTCTTCTCCAATAAATGTCTCTATTTTTCTTATTACACGGTTGGATACCTTCCGGACAGACCTCATATACCCAAGAGAAATAAAAATATATTTCTATACCAATATTCATATAAATATTCATAGCGGCATTACTCATAATAGCCAAAAAGTGAAAACAACCAAAATGTCTATTAGCTGATGAATGAATAAACAAAATGCAGAATAACCATACATAGTATGGAATAGTATTTGGGAACAAAAAGGAATGAAATACTGATAGATGCTACAACATGGATAAACCTTGAAAACATTATGCTCAGAAGCCAGACACAAAAATCTGCATAATTGCAAACTCTGAATATACTAAAAACCACTGAACTGCACACTTTAAATGGATGAATTGCATGTGGATTATATCTCAATTAAATTGTTCTTTTTAAAAAAGGAGCCTTGGCTGGTGTGGCTCAGCAGATTGAACACTGGGCTGAGAACCAAAAGGTCACTGGTTTAATTCCCAGTCAGAGCACATGCCTGGGCTGCGGGTCAGGTCCCCAGTGGGGGACATGTGAGGGGCAACCAATCGATGTTCCTCTCTCACATCAGTGTTTCTCTCCCTCTCTCCCTCCCTTCTTGCCTCTCTAAAAATAAATAAATAAAATATTTAAAATTAAAAAAAAAAAAAAAAAAAAGAGGAAAGTTGTGCCCTGGTTGTTGTGGCTCAGTTGGAATATCAGCCCGTAACTGAAAGGTTTCAGGTTCGATTCCCAATCAGGGTACATTCCTAGGTTGTGCATTCACTCCCCTATCCAGGCACACAAGGGAAGCAACCAACTGGTGTTTCTCTCTTTCTTCCTCTCCCTCTAAAAGCAATGAAAAAATGTCCTCAGGTGAGGATAAAAAGGAAAGTTGCTTCATTTATTTTTGGTGTCCAAAATAGGCTCCCACGGACAACTTTTATCCCACAAGTTAGACCAAGGAGTACAACTACTAAAACCAAGCAGTGGCAGTCTCTAAACACTTTGAAAAAGTTTTATTAAGTTAATAAAGTGTGAACTCAATTCCTTAAGGAATTTCCTTAAATTTCCTTAAATTTCTTTCATAAACCTTCAGCTTCTGATCTTAATTACATAAGCAAACACAAACTCACAGGGAAACAGTAATAACAAAAAAAGTTAGTTTGTTGGGGGCTACGGTTGGGGCGGTTATAGCTATGAGTGTCTGGTCCATGCTCTGATTAGCTAGTCAGTGAAGTGCAGTGGAAAAGCGCCTGCATTCTGGAGCCAGACTGCCTGGCTTTACGAGTATTTTCCTGTCCCACCACTCAGAATCCATGTGAGTCTGGGCATGTCCCTCTACCTCGGCCTTTTCATCTGCAGGGTACTACTACTGCCACTACCACCGCCACCACCACTACCAATAAACTCTACATAATTTTGTGAGTAAACAAATAAACACTTACAAAGCTCTGAGAATTCAAAAAGTAAGCATTCAATAAACGTTTAGCTATTACCACCATATTGCATGCACACAATGGTCTATTTTTTTCCCATTAAAATTATTCTTACCTGGATTCAATAATTTGAAGCATCAAGAGTTCACTCTATAAGTTTTATGTTACTGCAAGGAAAAAGGAGGTATATGGGAAAAAAAGTGATTTTGCTCTTTACCTTTCGCAGCAGCTTATCATGGCAGCGCAGAAGTTCAAAGAAAAGTTCTAGCAAACTTGTTGGATTGATGAGATTCTTATTTCTCAGCAAGATCAAAGCTTTACAAAATGTCTTGGGAAGGAAAAGAAAACATATTATAAGGTTAAGGTAAGAAAATGAAACATAATGTCTCCTACTAATCAGACATTATTCTAGGCATCAAAAGAGAACAGATAACCTCTGTCCTCATGGACCTTACACACTGGGGATGCAGCAGAAGAGAGGGCAGACAAGCAAGCACATAAACAGCAGTTATCTCAGATAGTAAGTGTCACAAAGGCAGTGAAACAAGGTCCTATAATTGATACATTGTGGCTACTTTACACAAAGAGGTCAGCATATAACAAAACCCCAGGAATCAAAGAAAGGTTTGGTAACAATAATACACTAAAATGAAATGATCAATCTGAGCTTGTGACCTTACAAGGCATTCTTCTGAAGTACTGTGAGTACTAAGAATGGCCCAACAACAGTTGTAGCACTCTTATAACCCAAATTTTTCCTCTACTTCTCTTCTCCATTAGATGGAACAAATAATTCTTGGAGAATAGTTCATTCCAAGTCTTGCGGCAAGTACAAAAAAAAAAAAAAGAGTTTGGAACTATTTCTGCCAGAATGCAAGGATGCTTTCAAAAACATCAGGGGCACTGCTGAAAAAAGAAGCTCCCACTGGTTAGGTGATGACAGCTTGACTGTAAAAGAGTAAAAACAGTAACGCTTTAAAAAGAAACTAATAAAAAGTATATTAAAAGGTAGTTACATTGTCAAAGAAAGAGTAATATAAAAAGTTCATTTTACTGATTTTATTAAGTAATTTGTTAATATACATGGATATTTTGTTTCTTCCACTGAGCAATACAGTCTGTTTCTATCTGTGTAATCAATGAAGAAAAAACTTGAGAATGATTCAAAAAGTCCTGGAAAAACAGTATATACACCAGGTAGAAAGTCCAACAGCTGATAGGATTGATAGCCAATCACAATAGCCAATTAAAAAAAGGATCCACCATTGTGTTCTAAATGATTCCTCTAAAGAGGAATACTAATTAGAGTCAATTCTTTGTTTCCTAGCAAAGAAAATTTCTACTAATCATCGTTTTAAAAACCTACTAATTATCATAAAAAAATAAAAGAAACATGCACACATATTTATTTATTTAATAATGCCTGCCACACACAACTTAAACAAAACCTACTGCTTTGAAAGGCACTAAGTCTCCATACTCAAAATCTCAAATCTGTACAACCTAGAGGAACTTGAAAACTTCCATGACACAAGTAAATCCCCTGACTAACGGTTTGAGTCTGAAGCCTCCTGGGCTGGGCTGCCAGGTGCTATGACCCAGAGAGTTAACCAGTTGACAATTCTAAGCCTGCAACCTTCATTTTTCTAAGATGGCATTCTTTTCCTTTTCAGCCTAATCAAGTTAATAAAATCTTAGACAAGTATAAACAAAGCTGAATTACATGGACTTAGCATTTTCATAAGTTTTTGCATAGGATATCAATAAGTTTTGTGATCATAATATTTACCTAAGTTCTACTTGCTTTAAAGGTATTTGAAAAGCTGGTGTATAAAATTTTAAAATGCCAGAGAGTGGGTTTCTAGAAGCACAGCCCAATTCATTACAGTGGTTTGTCTGGGGTGTTTTCTTTTCTACGCAGAAAGTAGGGGAGCAGGAGAGAGCAGAGAAAAGCTGAGCAAGGATGTGTCCCTGGCTGGAGGCACGCTTTAGTCTGAACACAAAGTCCTGGAGCATAAACTGTAACACAAAGTGGGACCCAGCGTGAGGGAAGGGGCTGGGCTTTCATACCTCCACGTGGGTCAGGTACTAGCTATGAGTTGCAGGGGTAACCTCCCAGGTGGTAGGTCTCTCATTTAGCTGAGGACAATCCTCCAGGGAAAGGGCAGCTGGAGGCCGCTGGGTAGGGAAAATGGGTGCCCTGGCTTGGTAAGGGGATCTTGGCTATGACCCAATGTCAACCACTAAAGTGACACTGTTTAAATGTTCAAACTGGCTATTTAATGGATAGATTTATTCAAATAAGCATTATACAAACCACGAGTTACAATTAAGGTTCTTCACGCACATGAGATCTGAATGAAAAACCATCCTGGGAGGGTTAGCAGGCTGGAAGAACGGAAGATCAGAGGAATGTAGCAGAGAAGACGGTAAGATAAAAAGCAGGCTGGACGCAGATCATGAAGGGACTTAAGGAAGGGGTGACACATTTTGTTTTAAATTTTAAAACGATGTTTAGGTGAGAGGCTATTTTCATTTAAACATATATTACATACATACATACAAACACAGCACAAGTTATCAATATAAATAGTGGCCCTACCATTCGAAGATCTGGGTCCAAGACAGTGTGGTTGTAGGAGAGAAGATCTTTCAACTCTTGAGGAAAGTTACTTAAATGTTCTGGGTAGCAGTGACCAATCTGTAACAAAGCAAAGACTCTTCTGAAGTCTCTCTTTCTCTCCTATAATTCATATGCACATATTCTGGACATTCTGCAAAAGGAGAGTAAAGGCTATTTCATAGAGGTAGATGGTTCCAAATCATCCAAATCATGTGTTTTTCTACAACATGCCAATTTCTGTGACCCCCTTCATATTTCTTCTAGTATTAAAATATGTGTTACATGATTTAGAATCTATTTTATAATGAATTTGAAGAAAACAAATAGTTTGAAAGTTTTGCTCTGGGTGGTTCTGCGAAAAACTCTAGCAAAATCTTCTAATTCACCATATAGAGAAAATAAAATTTGCAAAAAGGGAAAGTTAAATTTTCTTTTTTAAAATAAAGCTTCCATTCTTGAGTGGAATGAGGTGGAGTATAATGGAAAAGTAATCTTGTAAATGGTATAACAACTGGTCTTTGTTTTATACAAAAATTATCTTCTTACCTGTGCCATAAACATCACCAGTGCTGCCAGTTCTTTGCTGGGTTTATTTGGTTGTAACTTGAAAATCTCCACATTGGACTTGTAGTGATTATATTGCTGCAGAAACTGTAGAAGAATAAAATTTAAGTTGGTCACCTTTTCTTATATAACTTGCTCAATACAGAATGAAAAATTACTTAGTAAAAGTCTTTGATAGTGGCATGGAGAAAAAGAAATGGCAAATGTATGCAGAAACACTACCCTTTCCTTGCCTTCATTCTTCAAAATAAGTTCTGAAAACATTTTTTAAATTGTTGTTCAATTACAGTTGCCCCCATCCCCCCCGCTTGTCTTTGTCCATGGGTCCTTTATACATCCTCCTTGATGACCTTTCCCCTTCTTTTCCCCATTACCCCCGCTTCCCTCTGGTTACTGTCAGTCTGTTCTTTATTTCCCTGTCTCTGTTTAAATTCTGCTTGCTTGTTTGTTTTGTGGTTTAGGTTCCACTTACAGGTGCAATCACATGGTATTGGTCTTTCACTGCCTGGCTTATTTCACTTAGCATAATGCTCTCCAGTTCCATCCATGCTGAGGTTCTCAAAACTTTATGCACATCATAGAAAATCTAAAGATCCTTTCTTTTATTGTTAGAAATTTAGGTTATGTAGTGTAATGAATAGTGAAGCCAAAAGTCAAACACTCAGAATCTGGCCCTATGCTGGCATTCACTATCCAAATGACCTCTACTATATTGTCACTGTACACAGAGCACTCCTATCTGTGCTCCGAAAAATACAGTGTCAGAAAATGCAAATTATTTCTCAAGTACATAAAGTGTTCCAGTCAAAATTCCCTTCTTTCAAATACTGATTAAGGTTTTATTCAGGAGTTATAGGATAAAACCTTGTGAGTGTTCGGAGTTAACAGCCAAAAGTACCAGACACACAGAAATAATGATAATAACTTCCTTTTATTCAGCACTTACTATCTGCCAAGCTCATTGTGTACATTATCTCATTTAATTATGTTTAATCCTAACAATAACTCAACAATCTAATGTTGAAACACCAGCCATCAACCGGTTCCACGTATCCGCTCTCCAGCTTTAGGGAGTGTGTATGTGTATGAGAGAGTAAGGGAGAGCAAGAGACATATTGACACTATAAGAATGAATATTTCTTAATATTTTAAGTCCTAAATAGTCTAGTAAGTTCCAAATTAATATATCCAATTACTTGTCCGATATCTCTGTTTGGGTGTTTACCAGGTATTTTAAAATGTAACTCGATCTCTCCAACAAAATTGGTAGGTCTTCAGCTTTCTCCAAGAGAAGAGCTTAAGACAGAGACCTGCGTGCAGCCCCTACATGCTTCAGGTAAGACCCTACCTCTCTTAACTCCCTACTCGCGTTGACAGGAGTGAGAAGAACACCTCAGAACTCAGTGTGCTTCTGGCAATATCCTTACTCCATTTCCTTCCCAATCCCACGCCACCCAGCCACTATCTGCTTTGAAATGATGAGGGCATATTTGCATCCAGTTTTACTTTCTTTATAGTCCTTACTGCTATGTTTACCTTCACTACAACATAAGTCCAATAGAGGAAGTCTGTCATATCTCTCTATCACTGTATCCTCTATGCCTAGAATTATACTGACAAATAGCATATAAAACGTGTGGATTTGCATATGTATTTAAGTGAATAAAAGATCAATTCTCTGTGATAAGAATTATCTCTTACATATTAAAACAGCCTCAGGGGTTAATGTTCCCTAGTAACACAACTAGTTAACAGCAGGGTTAGGATTTAGAGTTATTTTTAAAATCAATGCTCTTAAATACAGCACTACACAGACTCTCAACTATTACTTTGTCAATGGTTGTATATAGTGCTTTACATATCTTAGAGTCTTACCTATATTACTAGTTTCTTGTATTTGTTCCTTACTCTTTATTTTCCTTGAAAAATTTCTCTATGTAGTGGTGACCTAAACCAATGAAACTGCTATTTGTTAAAAAGCATTCAATTAAATATTTCTAAGTGAAAAGCTGGGGAAAGAGGGAAATGAGAAGGGCAATCAAAAGATGAGTAACTGTGTTAGCCACTGAACAAATCACAGTCTAGTGAGGAGGAGGTACAAACCGTTGCAGCAAAAGCCTGGCAAACACCTCCTTGATGCCTGTCAGACAAATGGGTGTCTGAAGTACACACCTGCCAAATTAGTGTATCAAAATCACCACTTTCATTTTGTCACTTCTCGGCTCAAACACCCTTAATGTTCACTATTTGTATGAGGTCAGTATACAAAGTCCCTCACAAGCTGGACCTAATCTAATTTTCAATCTCATCTTGTCCCGAAGCAAATTCTCACATCCAGCTCATGCAAGAATCCAATGGAGACTGAATCCTCGCTTAACGAAATATACTAAGCTCTGGGTCCGTTCCTTATACTTGAGAGTATCACCTCCTTCCCAACACAGCCCACCGGAAAGCGCAGGTTCTCGGAAACAGACGTCGGTCGAGAGCCTCCTAAGAGACGACTCATCAAGTGTTACCAATTAATTCAAGTTAGGAATTTCTGAAAAGAAATATACGTGGAAGTTGTATTGGGGAGCGGGTTACGTCTCTCCACCTTTGTTAAGTCGAGAGATAAACCCTAAAGCAAAATGAGACCTTTAAAGTTCCGTGGCAGCAGAGTCTACAGAGCAGGTAGGAAAACTCAAAAGGGCAGCGTATTTCCAAGAGGTGGGGAACGAGCCCTAAAGCACGTCCCTTCCCCAGTCCTTTCCCTCTTCCCAAAAGTAGAACACAAGGCCAGCCAGGATCTCCACTCCACGCCTCCCCAAACCCTAGGGTGTCTCAATCAGTCGCGCCTCGGCCTCTGGTGTCGCCGCGCCGCAGTCCCACCTCCTCCACGTAGGCCGGCGGATCCCTCTTGATCAGATTCTGTAACTGCGGAAGGTTGCTGGGCAGCTTGTTGTTATTTCTGTTGGACATATTGGCTGCTGAATGGCTCCGCGACGAGCCGTTTTAAGAAAACCTACACCGCAGGGAACGACTAACCGTCCCAGCTACGGCCGCGAATCGTGCTTCCGAGTACGACCGGAAACAGCACATGGGACGTTCAACGGGCGGCGCCATCTTGGTTCTTACAACGAACTAGACTACGGGAGCCTCAGCATATCAAACTTACTTTCACAGAAGAAATGCTCTGTATTGCTTTTTACGGCGCGGTCCACCGCTGCTACAGGGTGTCCTCCCAAGACCTAATGAAACGGAAAGTTTTTTCACGCAAATTAGTTTATTTTATCATCCCGATAAATCTGTGAAACAGATGAATATTACTCGTTTGTTTTTTTTAATCCCACAGACTAAAGTTAAAAGCTAAAAATATCCCTGGGGGGCAGATAGTGTTATCCAACATTTATGAAGGGGAGGCGGGGTCGGGAAGCACAAGAGGCGTGAATTAGTTTTTTTCCCCCCTTTGGTATAATTTTAAGTGCCTTTTTTTGTTTTGTGTTGTGTTGTTTCAACTCAACATGACCCAGAGAGTGGAATGGATAGAAAGTGGTATATGGATTGGCATAAAATGCAAATTAGGCCTGGTGGGTGTGGTTCAGTGGATTGAGCGCTGGCCTAAGAACCAAAGGGCCATCTGTTCGGTTCCCAGTCAGGGCACGTGCCTAGGTTGCACCCAGGTCCCAAGTAGGAGGTGCACCAGAGGCAACCACACATTGATGTTTCCCTCACTTTCTCCTTCCCTGCCTCTCTTTCTAAAAGTAAATAAATAAAATCTTTTAAAAAAATAAAAAATGCAAGTTAATTCGTACTTAAATATCAACTATTGTTATAACCTTTGTAAGTACTCTTCAGCAAGAGTTTTAAATTCAGATCCTGGTAGTCTGAAGAGAATACATTTATACAGTCTTACAGTGCAAAAATAAATATGTGGTGAATGAATGTATGAGATAGGGTGTTAATACAAAAATACATTTGATCACTCACCCTATGCCAGGCACAGTTCCAAGCACTTCATGTGTACCAACTCATTTAATCCTTAGAACAGCCCTCTAACGTAGGTACTGTAATTATCTGCACGTTAGAGATGAGGAAACAATCTCAGACAAGTTGACTGCCTAAACGCTTAGCTGGTGAGGAAGCTGAGATTTCAATCCAGGCAGTCTTGATTACCTCTAGGTAAGAAAAACGTAGCCTAACGGCCGTCAGCTGACAACTAATTTGGCATTAGTCATTGGGCAGTGGTGTTTTGCTGCTTTCAATAAACAATTCCACAGAACACCAACTGCAGTCAAGGTCATCTGTGACCGAGCCAAACACAGTACAACTCTAATTACATCTGAGCACACACAAAATCAAGAACACAGTGCAAAAGCATCATTAGTTTTTAGCCGCATTTGGAAAATGACATTTTTTATTAATCATTGAACCAACTACTTGTGTAGTTATTAAGAAATGTAAGCAATAAATCTTTTTTTAAAATAACCCATTCATAGACTTAAATTAAAAAAAAAATTTTGGTTAGGTTATATTAGGGAGGGAAAAGGCATTCCCAAAGCAAGATATGTTAACATTATTTAATATAATTCCTGTCAAAATTATAAGTTTAAGTACTATGAATATTCATCTTGAGTCACCAAAATGTGACTTGTGAATTGTAGGGTAAGTGGAGGCAGTCTGGCTTCCTCGCCCAGGTGCTTGGGTAAGTAGGGGGAGCAGCTTCTCACAACCTTGAAGGAGTCTGATAAAGCAGTGTTCCCACAGCCTTGAGTCTGAGTCCAATAAACTACCCTTTAGCCTTGAGGAGGCTCACATGCGCAGCTCATGCTAGGTTACCTCACTTTTTGGCCTGAAGCCAGCTTTGTTTGTGCAAGCACTTAAGGAGGTGGGGGGGGAGAGAGAGAGAGAGAGAGACACACACGGGGTGCCAACATAGGCATGGGCTTGTGGCCTGTGTGACTCTCCTGAATAAAGGCATGTCAAGCATCCCCTCAGCTCCACGCATCTTTCTATGTCTACCTGAGTCTCCAGTGGACCTGCCCAGACTAGGGAGGCTGCAACACATGAATAAAGCCCTCAGGGTATGTCACAAACTTTTATTCACAAACTATATGTCAGGCACTAGGGGGAGTGCTAGAAATACAAAAATAAGCAAGGCACAGGTATTTGCCCTCAAGAAACTCACAGATCAATAAGGGAGACAAAGAGATAAACACGTTTAAAGTGAATAAAAATGTTCTTACAATAGATCAGTGGAACCAATAAAGAGGACAAACTAACCTAGAGGAATCAGAATGTTTCACAGTTTTTGGCAGCATTCAATTGAAATTCTGAAAGATTAGGAGTTGTTCTGCAGGAGGGGAAGAAAGGCTTTCTAAATAAAGTAGCCCATATAAAGATATGGGGGTGGGTAAGGGAAGGGAAGAGTCAAGGCAAGGGGCATGTATAAAGGACCCATGGACAAAGCCTAAGTGGGAAAGGATTGAGAGAGGGAGGTGGAGGAGGGGGACAGGGGAAAGTGGTGGCGGGAGGGTGAAGACAAATGTATTTGAACAATAAAAGAAAGAAAGAAAGAAAGACCTTTATTGATTCCCATTTTTGTAAAATGTATTTGGAATCAGAGAATAAATAAAATTTTCTATTTAAGTTATTTTATAAATAAAAATTAACACATCAAAAAAAGAGAAAATAGCCTATATAAAGGTACGATGGCTTGAAAAAGGCTTGAAAAAGTCTCGTGGATTTAAGGGATGGCCAGAGGTTTGGTGTGACTGAAGTTTGGAAGGGAAGTGTGCATCAGAAAAGGAGATGAGAAAAATAAGTTGGATGAGATGATGCAGCAGGTAATAAAACTCTTTGCACACTAATCCAGGGAAGGCATGTAGGTCAGCTCATTTTACCCCAAAACACCCTGATGACAGTATTCTTTTGTTTTTGATAGTTAAAAAAATTAAGGCAACCCTGGCCAGCGTGGCTCGGTTGGTTACAGAGTCATGCCATGACTAAAAGGTTGCAGTTCGGTTCTCAGTCAGAGCACATTCCCAGGTGGTAGGTTCCATACTTCATCCCGGTGTGAGTGCCTGCACCCCCCCACCCAGACGTGCGTTTCATCTCCACTCTGGGAGTGTACAGGGGGCAACCAATTAAAGCTTCTTTCTCCCAAAGATGTTTCTCTCTCCCTTTCTCCCCTCCTTCGTTTTTCTCTAAAAGCAAAGAAAAAAAAAGGCCTCCAGTGAGGATAAAAAAAAAATTAAGGCTGAGGGTGGCTAACAATACAATCAGCCCTCTATGTCCATGGGTTCCTTATCCTTGGAGTCAATCAACTGAAAATGGAAAATATTTGCAAAAAGAGTTGCATTGTTGCTGACATGTACTATGTAGCTAATTACATATGGTGGTTTCATCTGTACTGACACGTACATGCTTTTTTCTTGTCACTATCCCTTAAGCAATACAGTATAACAACAATTTACATAGCATTTACATTTTATTAGGTATTATAAGTACTACAGAAATGATATAAAGTATACAGGAAGATGCATGTAGGTTATTTGCAAATATTATGCCATTTTAAATAAGGGATTTGAGCACCTGTGGATTTTGGTATCTGCAAGAGGTCCTGGAACCAATCCCCTACAGATCCTGAGGGACAAATCTATATATTGGTTGACTAACTGAATATGCATTTTTAAAATGATAATAATGGCTATATTATATGTAATGTGATGTACATATGTTTAATGTATAGTAGCCAGAACAATGCCATGTTCATTTCTATATTTAGTCTTGAATTGAAAAAGGAAATCTCCATCTTTTTTTATCCCAAAACTATTTTTAAGCTGAAGTAAATTATTCTAGAACAGAAAATATCCTTTATACCTTTGCAGAAGAGACTCTATTATAATTGTAGAATGAATCATAATATCTGAATTCAAGTGGATTAAAAATATCTTTATTGAGAGAGCCTAGACTAGAGGGCTTAATTGTTTATCGTCTGTCTTTCTGCTTTAATTTGTGAGTTTAGAGAGGATTTTGTTTTGTTCACTGCCCTATCCTTTGCATCTGGAGCAATGCAAATAGTAGATAATCAGTTAATATTTGCTCAATGAAGGAATTAACATTCTCTAATTTCTTCTAATCATTCAATCGTATGCCTTATTAAAGTTAGAAATTAAAATATCTTAAGCATCCACAAAGTTTACCTCAAAATCAGTAAGTAACTAACGTGAATTCTTGTTATTGTCTCTCTCACTAGAACTATGTTCAGAAAAACCAGGCATGTCAGTACTTTTCTAATAAAAATGTTTTTAAAAACTGTTAGTGCTCCCACTAGAGGGAGCTCATACTTTTCCTTTCAACAAGAAAATTTACACAATTTTACAAAATGCCCACCACATACAAACTTGACAGAAAACTGATATTAGAAGAAATTTTTGTTACTTTCAAGGCTGGTTCAATTTTTTATTGTTCTTTCTTCCTTTGACCCCCTCTCTTTCCAGCTTCTTGTGAGTTTTGCCCACAGTTCATCCATCTTTCCTCTTTATGAGAACTATGGGTCTGCCTTTGGACAAACCTATCAACCCAAGCTCAACAGGGACTAATTCCATCATCTTTCATTCATTTTTTTTCTCTTAAATGATTGTAGACAAATTCTTAAAGTCAAAATTTTCCTCAAGTACCATTTTATGGTGTTATTTTCTATCTTTACACTTAAAACCTCAAAGCATGATAACATTTTAGTTTGCTTTGAAAGATCTTTAATAATTTTGTGACATACTGTGCAGTATGTCATTATTTAATCTCATCAATGGGTAACAGAAACAAAGGCTTGCCCTAATCCTTTTGCCAGGTTTCTTGGGTGTGCCAGGTGAACCTGGGGCTATTCACTGCTTTGTTCTGCTCTTACTACAGAATTAATTTAGATTATTAAAAGACTATAAATGCAATTGACTTTGGGTGTTCCTGATTTTCACTGTTACAGAAACCTATTAGAAAAATTCCCATCTTGGGACCCAAGATCTTCTAATACCATTCTATAATGTTTCCATCTCACGGAAAGTGTAATAGTTGATGGCTAGTATTTTTA